CCTATGTACGTAGTGGTGTACCCTATACCCATACTGGTGTACCCTATACGCATACTGGTGTATCCCTATGTCCATACTGGTGTATCCCTATGTCCATACTGGTGTACCCTATGTCCGTACCGGTGTATCCCTATATCCATACCGGTGTATCCCTATATCCATACCGATGTATCCCTATATCCATACTGGTGTATCCCTATGTCCGTACCGGTGTAACCCTATGTCCGTACCGGTGTAACCCTATGTCCGTACCGGTGTAACCCTATGTCCGTACCGGTGTAACCCTATGTCCGTACCGGTGTAACCCTATGTCCGTACCGGTGTAACCCTATGTCCGTACCGGTGTATCCCTATGTCCATACCGGTGTATCCCTACGTCCATACCGGGGTATCCCTACGTCCATACCGGTGTATCCCTATATCCATCCTGGTGTACCTTATATCCATACTGGTGTACCCTATATCCATACTGATGTATCCCTATATCCATACTGGTGTATCCCTATATCCATACTGATGTATTCCTATATCCATACTGGTGTATCCCTATTTCCGTACTGGTGTATCCCTATATCCGTACTGGTATACCCCTATATCCATACTGGTGTATCCCTATGTCCGTAGTGGTGTATCACTGTATCTATACTGGTGTACCCTATACCCATACTGGTGTATCCCTATGTCCATACTGGTGTATCCCTATGTCTGTACTGTTGTATCCCTATATCCATACTGGTGTAACTTATATCCGTACTGGTGTATCCCTAGATCCGTACTAGTGTATCCCTATGTCCGTACTGGTGTATCCCTATATCCATACTGGTGTAACCTATATGCATACTGGTGTATCCCTATGTCCGTACTGGTGTATCCCTATATCCATACTGCTGTAAACTATATCCGTACCGCTGTATCCCTATATCCGTACTGATGTGCCCCTATATCCATACTGGTGTATCCCTATGTCCGTACTGGTGTATCCCTATATCCATACTGGTGTACCCCTATATGCATACTGTTCTCCCTATATCCATACTGGTGTACCCTATGTCTATGCTGGTGACCCTATATCCATACTGCTGTATTCCGATGTCCATACTGGTGTCCCTATGTCCATACTCGTGTAACCCTATATCCATACTGATGTATCCCTATACCCATACTGATGTATCCCTATACCCATACTGGTGTATCCCTATACCCATACTGGTATACCCCTATATCTATACTGGTCTCCCTATGTCCATACTGGTGTACCCTATGTCTATACTGGTGTCCCTATATCCATACTGGTGTTCCCTATATCCATACTGGTATCCCTATGGTGTCCGTGCGGCACTTGCCGGGCAGCAGGAGGTTCCCGAAGCTGTACCCGGCGGTGCCGGCGATCACGTGGGCCCCGCGCCCGTTGCGCTGCACGTCCCGGTGGTGGCGCCACTGAACGGGGCCACAGGTGCGGGGTGGGGCCAGGCGTGAGGGGCGGGGCCACAGAAAGTCCCCCTCCGCCCATTCATACATCCGAGGCCACGCCCCCCCGCTGACGGATCGAGGTTCTCCGCTGGTAGGGGCTGGGTCCGGCCGGGTCCTGGGGCCACAGCAAGGAGACCGCGGCCCCACAGATGGCGCTGGGGGGCAGAGAGGGGTGACCCATAGAGACCCCATAGGGACCCATAGAGACCCATAGGGACACTACAGAGACCCATAGACACCCCATAGAGACATACCTAATGGACTTTTAGGTATGAAATTGAGAAGCAACCGCAATGATGGTGACACCGTTGCAAAGCTGACCGTGTGTTGAAGATTCCCAGCACCACCTTTCACTCCTGCCTCTTTAGCTGTGGGACGAGATTCCAAACATTCATTCTCTACTAATACTGCTGCTACTCAGCTGAGAGCCACCACCAGAGATGTTGAATTGAAATGGACTTTTAGGTATGAATTTGAGGAGTGACAGAAACAATGGTGGCACCGTTGCAAAGCTGACTGTGTGCTGAACATTCCCAGCACAAGCGTTCCCTCATGGCTCTTCGGCTGTGAAAGCAGAGGCCAAACGTCCACGCTGTACTCACTCTGCTGTTGGGCAGCCAAGAGCACGTGCTTCAGAGGTCAGATTCAAATGGATTTTGAAGTTGGAAAGCAAGGAGCAACAGCAATGATGGCCGCACCACTGTGAACCTCACATATTGCAGAACAACTTTTTTATTTTTTTTTTCAGGCTTCATTTTTTTTCATTTTTATTCACTTTAGTCACATTTAGCTCACTTCTTGATTATGCTTTGCTCACATTTTGCTCAATTTTCTCAAGATTTGAAGTAGTCACTTTTGGTAACTTTTTTTTTTTTTTGTAGATAGCTTATATTGATCTAGTGCAACCCCTTGACACCTCCTATATCCCCATGCAGCCCACTAATAGGTCCCCTGAGCCTCATAGACTTCTTATAAACACCCCATATTGTCCCAGAGCAACCCATAGACACCCCACAGCAACTCTTGATGAACCTACAGTGACCCATAGACAGCCCATAGCCATTCACAGCACCCCATGGTCACCCTATAGACATCCCATATAGACTCACAGTGACCAATAGACATCCACAGCACGCCATGTACACTTCAAAGTGACTCACAAATGCCCCATAGAGACCCATAAATCCCCATAATGATACACTGCAACCTACAGATACTCCATGGACACCCTGTAGTGAGCCCTGGACACACTGTACTGAGCAACTACTAGATACCTATTGACTGACACTTGGCCCTGTGACAACACGTAGAGCCATATAGACACCCTGCACTGTCACATAGCACCTCATAGGCCCACTCCTCAATGCCCCATAGTTCCCTACAGATGCACAACACACACCCCATGGCTTCTATTGACTTATGGTGTCATGATGTCACTAGGACCATGATGACATCATCAGCATCGTCAATGGCATGGTGCCCTATAGAGATGCCCAAGAGCCCTGTGAGGGGTCCCCAAGTGCCCCATAGGGCCCCCACTACCCCGTCGCACCCCATAAGAACCCCAACACCAACTGATCTTTTTATTGGCTTTTATTCATTTTTATGAACTTTCATTCACTTTTATTCAAGATTCATTCAGGCTTGCTCACACCTATTTCTTTTTTATTTGCTTTGTAATAAGTTATAAACACATTATTCTCTCTTTTGCTTTTTATTGTCTTTACGTGGGTTTATTTATTTGGGTTTTTATTAATTTTTTCTTCAGATTTCTTTGCTTTTTAGTTCTTTTTAGTAAAAAAAAATCTTTTAGATGCCCAATAGCAAGCCAGAAAAAACTCACAGAGCCCAACAGACCCACAGGGGCGCACAGCAATAGATAGAGACTCATAGAGACCCCATAGTGATCACAATAATCATGTTCTGATGAGTCTTAATTTTACAGCAAAAAAAAAAATCATTTTAAGGCAAAAATCTTCATTTTAAAGCAAGAAAACCATCATTGTACAGCAAAAACAAAAATTCATTAAAAGGTTAAAAAAAGCCGCATTTTAAAGCGAAAAAGGTCTTTGGGGTGGTTTTGGGTGTCACTAATGCTGTGTCACCTCCCTTCACATCTGCACCTCTGCTTTGCCTCATCCCCAACAGTCCTGGGAAGGTGAACTCTGCAACAGTCCCACCAACTTTAGGGGTGAGTTTTGGGGTGCCAAAGAGCTCCCCAGAAGATAGAGCAGCTGGAGTAAGGCCAGAGAAGGCCACGGAGATGGTCAGGAGCAGCTCTGCTCTGGAGCCAGGCTGAGAGAGCTGGGCTGGTTCAGCCTAGAGAAGAGAAGGCTCCTGAAGGGGAGACATCAGAGCAGCTCCAGTACCTAAAGGGGCTACAGGAAACCTGGAGAGGAGCTTTAGATAAGGAATGGAGGGGCAGGACAAAGGGATTGGCTTTAACCTACCAGAAGCAAGAGTTAGATAGAATACAGGGAAGATGGTCTCCCTGAAACTGATGTGGCTTATTATGTACAGGGGGGTTGTACAAGGGGGTTAGGCAAAATGTACAGGGGGGTTAGACAGAATGTACGGGGGGGGTTGTACAAGGGGTACTCCTTAAGTCATAGCTGACAAGCTATGACAAGCTTGACAAGCTCAGCAGATGTCTTATCAGGCAGTACCCGGACAGAACCTCCTAATGAGGAGAATAGGGGGGGTTGTACAAGGAGTACTGCTTAAGTCATAGCTGGCTTGACAAGCTCAGCAGATGCTAAGATAAAACTTCCTAACGAATGGAATAGCTCATTAAACCAGTTGGACATAGACCAGACCCATCCAGCTCCTAAAGAGCATGCGTGAGGACCAGAGGTAAAAAGTTCAAGCCTGAGGAAGACTCGTTTACTTCATCTTGAAGACCCCTACCCACAAGAGGAAGACTGCTTACTTCATCTGAAGACCCCTGCCCAAGACCACCAGGAGGCACTGCGCATGCGTGGAGAGCCTTTTAGCTCATTACAATATGAAGCGGTGGGGGGGGGGGGCGGGTAGAATATGAATATGTATAGGCGTATTGTGCAACCTAATACATATGTATGACTTTACAGGATAAATGTAAAAGGAAAACGGCACTGAGGCTCACATGCTTTTTGGAGGACCAATCCCCCATGCGTCTTCAGCTGAATAAAGCGTATCTACTTTACAACTTTAACGAAGTTGTGGAGTCTATTCCGCTATCACCCCCCAAGGCCACTCCATTGTGGGATTCAATCTTCTGCGGTCGAGCTTTAGGCCTCAGCAGGGCGCAGTGCAGCGAAGCCAAAGTGAAGTGGTGTCAGACCTGGTTGAAGCCCGGGGTGCCTCCCATTGCTGTAGCAAACGCGAAGGTGAGACCTGACTGAAACCCCCCTTAAATTAACTGCAATTAGCTCCGCCCCTTTAATTGACCCCAATTAGCTACGTCTCCTTTAATTCACCCCACGGGTAGCTCCGCCCCTTCGAGGCCACGCCCTACAGCCGCCGCTAACGTCCGGGGCGGGGCCTGGAGGCCGGAAGTGTGTCGTGCTCGCAAGATGGCGACTCCCTATGTGACTGATGAGACCGGTGAGTGCGGCGCGGCCGGATCCGGCGCTGTGGGTCAGGACGCGGGCTATGGGGCAGGGCACGGCGCTGTGGGGCACAGCCCGACGCTGTTGCGCAGGACCCGGCGCTTTGGGGCGGACCCGGCGCTGTGGGACCGGACCCGGAGCTGTGGCATGGGCGGCCCCCTCCCGCTCCATAGGGCAGCGCCCACCTGCGGTCCCTGTGGGGCAGGCCCCGATCCCTTTGGCGAAGGCTGCCTACACTGTCTGTGGGGCTCTGTCGGCTCCCCCGCACCCCCCACTGCCGTTCGCTATGGGGCACCTCGCCTGTCGCTGTGGGGCTGGGTCAGGGCAGCCTCGCGCTCCCTTGCCCCGGTTCTCGCGGTGTCCCGTGGGATTCGTGGGGGGGCCACAAAGCCCCCTGGGGTCCGTAGGGTGTCCCACGAGGTGTATAGGTTGTCTTGTGGGGTGTCCTTTGAGGTCCATGGGACGCCCCACAGACCGGGGGTTTTCCTTTGGGGTGTCTTACGGCCCTTGTGGGTCTGTGGGGTGCTCCATGGTGTCCGTGGGGTGTCCCAGGGCCCTTGTGGGGTGCCCCATATCCAGGCCTGACTGTGGTCCTCCACAGGGAAGTACATTGCCTCGACACAGCGCCCAGACGGGACGTGGCGGAAGCAGCGGCGGGTGAAGGCCGGTTACGTGCCACAGGAGGAGGTGCCGGTGTAAGTGACGGTGTCCGTGTCCCCGGTGCCACACGTGGGGCATGTCCCATCCCGTTCCCTCCATCCCCGGTGACATCTTGAGCTCCAAGTCTCTTTCCAGGTGCCCGCGCGATTCCGACCCCCTCACCCCTGTCCCATAACTGTGTCCTGCCTGGTACATATTGATCCCCTTGCGGGCACAGAGCTTTGGAGAGGTTTCACCGGTGGCATGGGGCTGGCTCCTGGGACCAGGGGTTTGTGGCACCACTGTGGGGGCCACACAGAGCCTTCACAAGCTGTTTCCCCCCATGCAGGTATGAGAACAAATACGTCAAGTTCTTCCGGAGCAAACCAGAGCTGCCACCAGGGCTGAACCCAGAAGCAGCAGCAGCACCCGGGAAAGCAGAGCCCAGCGACACGGGACTATCCAAGGCAGCCAAACGGAACTTGAAACGGAAGGAGAAGAGGAAGCAGCAGCAGGAAAAGGGGGAGCGGGACACGGACGAACTGATCCAGGCGCTGGAGCGCTCGGCACTGTCGGAGCCGCTGCCGGGCTGTGGCACTGCCAGCCCTGTCGTGAGCCCTGGCACCAGCCCCGGTGACGCTCCGGCCTCAGAGAGGAGCCGGAGGCTGAAGAACCTGCGGAAGAAGCTGCGGCAGGTAGAGGAACTGCAGCAGCGCCTGGACGCCGGTGAGGTCCCAAATCCCACCCGCGAGCAGCTTGAGAAGCTGAGCCGGAGGAAAACACTGGAGGAGGAACTGCGGGACCTGGAGAGGGACTCATAGCGGGGGAATCAGGGGGTGTGGGGGGTGGTATTGGAACAGTTGTTCCCACTGTTGGGAACGCAGCAGCGTTTGGACACTTCTCCCTTTATCCTTCTTTTTTATTTGCTGTTTTATTTTATTGGGGGGGTCTCATCTCGTGGCCCCCTCCCCACCCAGCCCCTCGTGTTCCTTGTCATGGTCTTGTCCCGGCCTTGTTTCAAACCCTGGTGACAATAAACCCAGCAGAGCCCCAGCGCTGGCAGCTCCTGGTCCATGGGGTTGTCCTTTGGGAGCCCCATGACAGGGTAAGACCCCCCCACCATAGGGTTGAGGCTCTGGGGAGAATTGGAGGGGTTGGTCCCATGGTAGTGTTTGGGTAGGTCCTACAAAAATAGAAGTGGGGCTTTCTTTTGACAGAGTTTTTGGTGGGGGGAGGCAGGTTATGGGGCAAGCAGCACTAGGGAGGGCTGGAGATTTGCCCCATGGGAGGTGTCCCTGAAGCCCTTCCCACACCATGACCATGCCCTGATTAGGGTGGGAAATATAGCACCTCATTTGTGTATTTAAAGGAGAAGGCACGTGGAGGGATCGTCCCCAGCAGGCCCTGCTCAGCCCACCTGGTACAGGCTCACTGGGGGCTGCGTGCCACCCCTGGGGGTCCTCGGAGGGAGTCGGGTTCATCCGACTCTCGGTCTCTTTCTGCCACAGGAGCTGCTGCTGCCAAGAGCTGCAGGGGGCTGTGGGTACGGGTCGAGCCCAGTGGGACACATCCCAATTCCCATCCCAGTCCCTATCCTATCCACATCCCAGTTCCTTCCCCATCCTGACATTATCATCACAATCCCAGCCTTATCCCCATCCCAATCCCTTTCCCATCATGTTCCCATCCCACTGTCCCGTTGCCCATCCGCTCAGAAGCCCCATGGGCAGCATGTGCTCCTTGTGTTCCCCCACTTACCGGCGCTATGTGCACAGCTGTGGGCCATGACCCTCCATTGGAGCATCTCAGCAAAGAAGCTGAGCAGGGCCCAGGCTCCCAGCAGCTGCTCGCACACAAACAGCACCAGCACAAGTGCCTCCACAAAGTAATCGGCACCTACCAGGACAGTGGTGGCTCCCGGTGCCGCGGTGGCCACCACAGTCACCCCCGTGGTCCAGCGCAGCACCTGGAGTGCGCAGAGGAGCGTCAGCGCCGTGCTCAGCGGCACCGGTGCAGCCATGGCCAGCGTGGCTGCGGCTAGCAGCAGCCCCCTCATGAAGAGCCCGATGCTGCACAGCAGCACGGTGGGCAGCGCGATACCCACGCTCGCCACTGGCCCCAGCTGCCCGTAGCACAGCATGAAGTTGACAGCGGAGCTGAAGAGCAGCCAAGAGAGGAACATGACAGCCCTGAAGCAGCGGTAGCCTGGCACCGGCATGAGACAGTCACTGGTGCTGCCATGGCCGTGCCCCGCAGTGTCCCCCTGTGCCACCCTCCTGGCTCTGTCTCCTAGAACACCTTTGTCCCCCCCTGTGCCACAGTACAACCCCCTCCATGGGCTTGTGGTTCTCCCCAAGTGAGCCCCAGTGCCACCCCCCAGCTCTGCCCCCCCGGCGCCCACTGAAACAGCCACACAGGAGCCCCAGGAGCACTCCAAGCACAGGGAACAGTGGGGACCAGCTCGTAGTGGGGCCGTGGCTCCGGGGTGCAGCAGGGCACAAGGCGGGGGCCGGGCCCCATGACATGGGACTGGGGGGGAATGGGTGTCTGTGAGCCCCCAGTGACCTCCCCCCGGTACTCAGCCCTTCCTCCCCCCACCCACATCTGGCAGCGCCTCCTGGGGAGAACATCTGGGGGAAAGTGCGAGGCAGGCGAGGTGGGAGCGCTGGGAACAGGAGCTCCGGGAGGGAAACCGGGAGCTCTGGGGGACACCACACCGGGACCATTGGGACAGCAGGGGCGGCGGGACGGGAATCCCCCCTCGGTGCCCACCCTCCCCGGGACTCACCCGCTCGCCGCCGGCCACGGGGGTCGCGGTGGGGCGGGACCGGGACCCCCCCGAGAGCGGGATGGGCCCCTCCTGCGGTTAAGGGGGGACGGGGGAGAAGGTGCTGCTCCTTTAAGGGGCGGGGTTAGGAGCGGGGACGCTCCGGCTCCAGGGCCCGGCTCTGGGAGTGGGCGGTGGCGGAAGTGCTGCAGGACGCAAACTGGGGGGGGAAGGTGGTGGAACCCCCCCGAGCCCGGACGGGCGCCGGCGCGGTGAGACCCGGATCCCCCCGCAGGTCCTGAAGTGGGGCCTGAGCACCGGCCCTTGGGGGGGCCCTGGCAACGGGGGGTGCTCAGGGCCGGTCGGGGGGTCCTGGGGCCGCTCTGTCGGCGCTGACCCCGCTCTGGCCCTTCAGGACATGGCTGTGACTTAAGCCCGTCCGGGGCCAGTGGGGCCGCCGGGATGGAGCAGCCGCGGCACCGGGAAGCAGCGGCGGCGGCTGAAGGAGGCGACGGCTCCGGTGGGAGCCTGGAGGAGCCCGGGGTCACCGGTGGCCGCCGCGGCTGGGACAGCGCAGGCTGGAACGGGAGCTGCGGGTGGGCAGCGGCTGCCGGCCGGGAGGAGGAGGAGGAGGAGGAGGACGGGGACGGGGACGGCGAGCACGACCCAGGCCCCGAGCGCTGCTGCCGCTGCCGGGGGGAACCGGCGTCTGCCCCGAGTGCCGCGGCCGAGGAGGAGGACGAGGAGGAGGACGCGGGGCTCCAGCGGCCCGGGCGGCGGCAGCGCGCGGCGGTCAAGAAGGAGGAGGGGAGCAGGCGGGAGGGGAAGCGGCCGCAGCCGCCGCGGAGGAGGAGTCGCGGGGCCGAGGCCGCGGCTGGGTGGCGGGAGCCGCTGCTCCAGGCCCGCAGGCTGGCGGCGGAGGCCGGGGGGCGGCTGCTCTGCTCCTGCTGCCGCCTCGGAGCCGCGGAGCCGGGCTCGGTGTGGGGCTGGGGCCGCGCCGTAGGGCAGCGCGCCCGGAGCGGGTCCTTGCGGGCAGCGCGGTGCCTGCGCGCCGCGGCACGGCTCGGCCTCCGCCTGCTCTGGATGCTCCTGGCGCTCCTGCTGCTGCTCCTCATGCTGCTGCTGGGTTGCCTGCGGCTCTGCGGCCGCGCCGGCGCCGCCGCGGTCCAGTGCGCAGCTGGGAGCCGGCTCCTGGACGTGGCCGCGCTCCGCAGGACGTGGGGGCTGCTCTGGGTCTGGTTGAGGCCATGCCGGGATCCCCCTTGGGCGGGGGCCGCGGGTGGGACGGGGGTTGCGGCGCCCGAGGACCGCGGCGAGGAGGTGACCCGGCTGCTGGCCATGGCCGAGATGCCCGAGGAGGAGCTGAACCCCTTCCACGTGCTGGGCGTGGAGGCGACAGCGTCGGACACTGAGCTGAGGAGGGCCTATCGCCGCCTGGCCGTGCTGGTGAGGGGGACCGAGGGTGGCAGGGTCTCTGTGCCCCCACCTGGGGCTGCAGTGTTGAGGTTCCCACCTTCTCCATGGCAGGTTCACCCAGACAAGAACGAGCACCCCCGGGCAGAGGCAGCATTCAAGGTGCTGCGGGCGGCCTGGGACGTAGTCAGCAGTCCTGAGCGTCGGAGGGAGTTTGAGATGTGAGCAAGAGGGAATTTTGAATGGTCCTTCCTTACCCCAGCTCTGTGCCGGGGGTCTGAGCCCCGATTCCTCCCTGGCACAGGAACTGGATGGCACAGCACGAGCTGCCGCGCTCGGTGGGTGAGTTCCTGCGGCGGCTTCAGGAGGAGCTGCGTGAGGCCATGAACACCATGATGTGCAGCAAGTGCCAGGGCAAGCACCGGTGGGTACCGGCGGGGGGGCTGGGAGCCGGGGCTGGGCCCGGCAATGCCTGTCCTCATCCATCCCAACCACAGGCGGTTTGAGATGAACCGGGACCCGCTGAGTGCCCGGTACTGTGCCGAGTGTGGCCACTTGCATGCAGCAGAGGAGGGTGATCTGTGGGCAGAGTCCAGCCTCCTGGGGCTGAAGATCACCTACTTTGCTATGATGGACGGGAAGATCTACGACATCACAGGTGGGTGTCCCCCTGTATGGTGCCTGCGGTGCTGCTGCGCACCCTGGTGTGACCAGTGCCCACTTCCCTCCTGCAGAGTGGGCAGGATGCCAGCGCGTGGGCATCTCCCCAGACACCCACCGCGTTCCCTATCACCTCTCCTTTGGGCCGCGGGGCGCAGGGCGCCACAGGTCAGTGTCCTGCACCCCTGGGTGGGGGGGCACCAGGCTCGCCTGGGGCACCCCTAAACCCCACTTCCCCCCCACTGCAGGAGCACACCCAAGGGCAACACCCCCTCAGCTGGCGACCTGCAGGATTTCTTCACCCGCATCTTTCAGAGCAGCTCAGGGCCAGGGGGACCCTTCCCGCCACCCCCCAACCCCCCAGCAGCTGCAGCCCCTCCCAGGAGTACCCCCAAGGCCGAGGGGGCTGCGCCCAAGGGGGACATGAGGCACAAGAGGCGGAAGAAGCTGCGTCGGCCACTGCAGCGCTGAGGGTGACTCTGGCCCAGGCACTCTAAGGGCTCTTTCCAATAAACAAAGCTCTATTTTTCCTTTTTAGAATTCCTTTTAAATACTCTGAGGCTTCCCAAGGGAACCGGGGGGGGGGGGGTGGGGGTACACACAGCCAGAGACAGAGGTACAAACACCTGGTGCCATGCCAGTGCCCCTCACATAGTGTTTTGAAGTTGCTCATCCCTCTTTGTTACCCTCCTCTTCCCAGTGCCAGAGCCCAGGCTGGCTTTTCCTGCCTCTCAGCTGCTTGAGGGACTCTCATCCCTTTCTCATCAAGGAGCTGTGGGTGGATGTGGGGGGCTGGATTTCAAGGGGTGCTGCCCCCCACGTGAGTGTCCAAGTGGGTCCTGGCTGGAAACGAGGGGTTACCTGTAGCAAATGCCTCTGAGATGGATTTGGTTGAATTCTAACCAGAGGAACGGGATCCATGGAGCAGCTCTGGGCTGGAGGAACCTTACCCAGACCCTGGTGGAGCTGGAGGGTTCCTTCAGGGGGCTCAGTACTTGTTGATGCCGAAGATACGGACACCGTGGAACTGGGGCAGTTTAGGCAGGAGGACGCTGAGCAGAGAGGCTGTGTTCACCAGGAAGTGCAGAGGGTCGTACTTGGTGTAGAAGCTGGTCAGGAGGTACCTGGGGCACAAGGAGACACAGGGTGAGCTCCGGGCTGCTTCCACCACCCACATTAGGGGCTTCTTGGGTGCTTCAGAGAAGCCCACAATGGTTTATGTTACAAGGGACCTTAAAGCTCCTCCAGTTCCAACCCCTGCCACAGGCAGGGACCCCTTCCACTGGAGCAGCTTTCTCCAAGCCCCTGTGTCCAACCTGGCCTTGAGCACTGCCAGGGATGGGGCAGCCACAGCCTCCCTGGGCACCCTGTGCCAGCGCCTCAGCACCCTCACAGGGAAGAGTTTCCAACGTCCCCCTTGTGTTGGGAAAAGGGCCCTTGGCCCAGGCTTGCCCAGCACTATCCTGCCCAGGTAAGCAGCACTCACAGCACCACGGGGGAAATGCTGAGGAACTTGCGTGCTGCAGTGCACTGTGTTCCGTAGTCTATCTGCTCCCAGTGCGTGAGGAGCCGGTCCCTGCCCTGGTCTGGGGTCTCGAAGGGCGTCCCCTTCACGGCATGCAGCAGCATGTACATGACCTGTGGGGTGAAGCAGGGAAATGCTGAGCCCCCAGCAACCCCGCAGCCAGGGGCTGCCCCGGGGGAGATGGGGCAGAGTTGGCCTGACCAGGTTGTGGATGATGTTGGTGAGCGTCCAGACCACGGGCACGCTGAAGAAGGGGATGCTGAGCAGCACCACGTGAAGGATGCCCACTGAAATCCCGTAGGCCACCCAGACGCCTCTGCTGTTCATCACCCGCGTGTTGGGGTTCACCTCGCTGTGAGCCACGCCGACGTTCATCCTGCACCGGGGGTACGGGGAGCTCCAGCCTGGTCCCGCATCGGAAACACGGGGGGCTCCAGCCTCGCCCGGCAGCCCCGACCCCAAGCACGGCCTCAGGCACTGTCACGGCTCCCTCCGTACTCCCGGCCCGCTCCCGGTCTCCAGGTCCCCCTCCCCAGCCCCCTTCGCCTCCCACGGTCCCGATCCCTGGACCCCCCCCGGCTCGTCCCGGTCTCCCCGGTCCCGCTCCCAACTCCCACCCGGCGACTCCGCAGCCGTTGCCAGGCCCCCGCCCGTGCCCGTCTCCAGGAAGCCTCTACGCCCGCCCCTTGCCTCTTCCCATTGGCTGATCTGACTTTTTTTTTTCCTCATTTTTATTGGCTATTCCGCCCTTCGCTCCACCCCACAGCAGGCCAATGGAGCGGGGCGGAAGTCCCGGCCAGTGGCGAGAGGCGGTGTGGGGTAGTGCTTTGAAATTGACAGCGCTGATTGGGTTAGAGGCGGGCTGTGGGGTGGGGCCGGCGCGGGCTGTGCGGGTGACAAGATGGCGGCAGAGGCGGTGGAGTTGCACAAGCTGAAGGTACCGGTAACTCCTGGGACCGGATGTCCTGGACGGGGATGGGGGGGTCCCGGGCGGGCCGAGGCCGGAGCCCGCCGTGGCTCTGGTGCTCGGTCCGTGCTGAGTGGCGCCTCTCGCCTCGCAGCTGGCCGAGCTGAAGCAGGAGTGCCTGGCCCGCGGCCTGGAGGCGAAGGGCAACAAGCAGGACCTGATCAACCGGCTGCAGGCTTACCTGGAGGAGCACGGTGGGTGCCCGCCTGGGTCGAGGAACGCGGGCTTGTGGTGTGGGGTGAAAAGGGCTCCGGACATCCCCCTCTCTGCCGCAGGGCTGTGTCCAACTCGGGGGCCCCAATACAAAACGGGCCTTAGATCAGCTGCAGGACCTAAAGGGGCTGCAGGAGACCTGGAGAGAGGTTTTTTACAAGGGCTTGTAAGAACATGACAAGGGGAATGGCTTTAACCTGTCAGAGGGGAGATTGAGATAGGATCTTGGTCAGAAGTTCTTCCCTGTGAGGGTGGTAGACACTGGAATGGGCTGAATGGAGGTTTGGATGCTCCATCCCTTCGAGGCCAGGTTGAAGTAAGCTGCTCTAATGGAAGGCGTCCCTGCACATGGAACTGGAGGAGCTTTAAGGTCCTTTTCCACCCCAAACCATTCCATGCTTCTGTGATCCATGATCACAGCCTTTGCTTCCCATTTTCCTAAGTCCCATTCTCATCCCAGGCTCCACGTGGGAAGCCGGAGGTGTCAGTGCTGTCACTCACTCCTGTTCTTTTGTCCTTCAGCTGAAGAAGAGGCAAATGAAGAAGATGTCCTAGGAGAAGAAATAGAGGTGAGTCCGTGCTGAGGGGCTGGGAACCAGGAGAGGTGGTGGTGAGGAGGAGAGCCTGTGGCTGTCCCAGCTCATGGCCAGCACAAATCTCTTCTTGTTGTGGGGCACGTTCAACACCCAGCCCTAGAAGCCTGGATCGGGGGGGGGGGGAGGCTGGATTCCAGACAGGGGCCTGTGTCTGGCCTCGGGGCTGCTCCATGCTTGGCTGTTGTCATTCCTGCCTTTTCCCTGCAGGAGGAGGAGCAGAAGCCGGTGGAGCCGCCGGTCAAAGCTGAGGAGCCTCCTGTAAACTCGCCTGATGTGTAACTATCCCTCTGAGCAGCAGAAAGCCAAGCCAGGCCTGGGAGGGCTCCTGGGGAGGGGTATGGGGCTGGAAGTGGGGCGCAATTCTAGTGGGATGCAGTCCTGTGCTGGATCCTGGAGGCTGGTGGGTGCTTGGTGTGTCTGACTGCCCTGCTCTGCGCGGCTCAGGGGGTGGGGGGAGCCCCCAAGGAGCCCACAGTGAGCCCCAGTGAGCTGCAGTGAGCTCCAGTTCACCCTCATTGAGCCGTGGTGAGCCCGATCGTGGTGCGGGCAGAAGGGGGCGTCCTGAGCCCGCGGAGCCGCAGGCCCGGGAGCCCCGGTCCCGGCAGAATCGCTTCCTGTGGCAGTGCCATGAACCCATCCCTCCCCTCCCGGGCATCCAGTGAGATCCTGCTTAGGGCTGAACAAAAGCCGGGAGCTCCCATCCCAGTGGGTGGTGTGCGATGGGAGCTGTTGGCAGCAGCAGCAGAAGGAGGAGGACTTCTCAATGTTGTCTCTTCCTCTTTTGTTCCCCCCCCCCCCCGAGCCCAGGCTGTGTTATGGGAGCAGAGCTCTGGAGCACGCCCCCTCCATTCTGCCGGCCCTGGGGCTTTGTGTGTGGCTGCTGCTGCCCTGGAGCTGGAACACAAGAAGCCTTTGTGTGGGAGGGCTCCAAAGGGGGCTCCAGAGCTGAGTGTTCCCCGTCAGAGTCCAAGGCTGGGAGAGACCTCCCTGAGCCCCAGAACCTCAGAGCAGGGGGGACATGATCGTTCCCCATGCTCTGACAGAAGGATGGGGCCAGGTCACTGCTCCCAAAGGATGAGACAACAGGAAAGGGCCTTAAGCTGTTCCAGGGGTGGGTTAGATGGAGATGAGGAACAATTCCTTCCCCATTGGAACACGGCAGTAGTGGAGTCACCATGCCTGGAAGTGCTCACACACAGCGTAGCAAACCCCTCAGTGCCTTGGGTTAGTGGTGGTCTTAGCAGTGCTGGGAATGGTTGGATTAGATGACCTTAAAGCTTGTCCAGCCTGGTTGATTCTGACCACTCCTGCATTAAAGAATGGCGAGTATGGCTGGGTCCAGTGACTTGCCCCTTCTTCCTTTTGGCAGAGGGATTTGGGAGCATTTGAGGCAGTGGTGGGGCTCACTGTGCTCCATGGCTCACCCTTCACGCTGGCATCGGGATGCTCAGCCCTGGGTCGAGGGTGCTGGTGGTGGTGTTGGGTGGGAGGACCCATTGTGACCTGTTTATCTCTTTCCCATCTCTGCAGGATCACGGAGAAGAAGGTGGTGAAGATCACGTCGGTGATCTCACAGATGGAGGTGAGGTCCCTCCTCTGCTCTCAGTTCCCTTCCTCACTTCCTCCATCTCCTGGGTGTAGCTGAGGCAGTGTCAGCATTCCCATAGGAAACCTGCTTTCTTTTCCCTTGGGATTGTGGTGCTGCTGGCTGTGAAGAACCCTGAAGCAGGTTCCTTTAGCTCTTGGGGAATGTTCCTCTCTGTTGTCCTTAACTCCTCTTTCCACCACCAAGCCCATGACCCTTCTTCAGTATCCCAGCATCACAATTCCAGTCATTCCAGGCCATTATTCTCTCTCTGGGCTCACTGCAGCCACAAAGCTTTGGTAAGGATCCACTTGAGGGGGGAGAGGGGTATCTACTGTGAGCTGAGGGATCATCCCATCATCTGCCCTGCCTTTGCTATTGCAAGCAAGCAGCTATTTCTCTGGGAAAATTTGGAGTTCAGGGAGCCTGCCCGTGATTCCACAGTACCCCCCTTGCTGGCTTCTGTTCCCTGTGCAAACACAGGTTTGGACTCCCTGCTGCTCAGCACCACTCAGAGCCTTTTCATCTCCTCTTTGGGCCACTACTATTTCCACGGCAACGGGATGTCGCAAGCAGAGGATTAGGAGGGAGGGAGCGGAGGGGGGGGTGGATGGAGCTCCATGGCCCCTGTGGTGCTGCCCTCAGGGCGAGAGCTCCCACTGGGCTCTTGGGTCTGCTCCAAACCCTGTCCAAGCTGATCCCAGGCTTGGGTTTGCTGCTGAGTGTGGATCGGTCCCAGGGCTTGGCAAAGGGGTGCTGGGGATGGTTCCCCATCCCTGGGGGGGTTCCCATCCCTGGCAGTGTTCAAGGCCAGGCTCAACTGGGCTTGGAGCAGCCTGCTCTACTGGAACATGTCCCTGCCCGTGGCAGGGGTTGAAGCTGGAGGAGCTTTAAGGTCCTTTGCCGTTCCAACCCATTCCATGATTCTGTAATCCATGGTCACAGCCTTTGCTGCCCCCTCAGGTATTCCTCAGGGATATTCTTCAGTGTGTCCCAAAGAATAAGGAAACTGGGATCCGGGTGCTAGGTTCTACTGTCCCGGCTGGTGCTGCAGGGTGGGAGCCCTGGTCCTGCTCCGTCTTTTCCAAGCGCTGCCATTCCAATGGGGATGTTTGTCCTACTCCTCACTGGGCTTGTGGCTAAAGTCAATGTTTCCATTACTAAGCTCTGTTTCTCTAACCCCAAACACGCTGCTGGGCCCTTGGCTCGGAATGAAATGTGAACTATTTCCCTTAAGCCTTTAAGGGGATTTAACACTTGGAAATGCAAATCCTGAGCTTCCAAAGCTTCCAAACTTTTCCTTTCTCCCCCTTACCTGGGGCTTTCTCCAAAGCCAAAATTCACCTGGAGTTACAGCACTAAGGCTAAACTGTGCTCTCAAGGCCAAGCCAATCAACACCCCCATCCCCTTTCCCAGCATATTCCTTTGGCCTTTAAGAGAGAAAGAAGGAAAGGAAACCCTCTTTGCCTCTCAGTTGTTACTAGGTTGATGTTTATTAAAGCTCCTTTTGGTCAAGTCCCAGCCCTGGGGTGGCTCCTGGGGGGGAGAAGGTCCCTGCAGCATCTCTGCCATCACCTGGGGGTGCAAAGGAGAGTTTCCCCATTTCAGCCTCTGGGCTGCCAGCCCAGCAGGACCCACTGGGGTGTTGACTTGGCCTCCTGCACCTGCAGAACCTCCTCCCCAGCCCCTGCCTGTGGTGACTCCTCCTCAGGTGATTCCTTTCTCTCCCTCTAGCGCATGCAGAAGAGAGCTGAGCGCTTCAACGTACCCGTCAGCCTGGAGAGCAAGAAAGCAGCGCGGGCAGTACGGTGGGTGCTGCCAACCCCCCCAGCCACCAGTGGTTGGGAGTGTTGGGTGGTGGGACTCCAGCAAGGGAATGGGGATGTGCCAGTGATCCCACTGCTGTTCCTGCACGGGGAGGGGGGGGGGGGGGGGTTGGAGGGAAGCTGGAATTGCTGCAGTGCTGCCTGCAGCCAGGAATGCTGGGTCTCAGTTAGTCTTGCCCCCAACCCAGTTTTCCTCATGGGAAACACTTGCAGGGAGGCTTCCGGGGCTGACCCTGCTCTGACAGCTCTTGTTTGCCTTTGGCAGGTTTGGTTTGGCCATGGTGTCCACTAAAGGTGAGGGAGTGAAGCAGAACTCCAGTCCCTGGAGTTCCCTGGTGCAGTTGTTGTTACCGGGGGGCAGAACGGTGCTGGTGGGATAACCCTGGGTTTAAACACTCCCTTTTCCTGCCCGGGAGTTCCAATTGGGCACTGTGGGATCAGGAAGGGAGGCCACACGTTCCCTTGGTAGTTCAGACACTTTTCCCCAGTGTGTCCCCGTTCCAAGCCCAGCTGGAGGACACAAGGTGTCCACGTGGGGCTCTCGAGCAGCATCCTGTGGCTTCATGAATGACCAGGTCCCATGGCCAGTGTCTTAGCAAGGTGGGACAGTGACGGATTGTGAGTGGAGATGCTGGAATAGGAACTGTGAGACTCATTGTGTTGGGAACAGAGAGAGAAAGTGGGAAAAGCAGTTCCTGAGTCCCTGGTGGGACTTTTCCCGTGCCTCCTTGTAGGTAAGATCCTGCTCCTGATGATTGTTCTTTAATTGGGTTTTCCCTTTTCTTCTCTCTTCCTTTCAGGCCTCTCCTCAGACAGCAAACCCACGGTAAGGAATTTTCTTGTCCTTGAGTTGCTGGTGGTCAGGCCCTTCGCATGTGTTGATGGGAGCAGGGGGGGTCCCTTTCCCATTTCCATGCTCCTCGGCTGCGGATGAGGGTACATGGTTGAGCCAAGATGTGGTAGCCACCATGTTGTTGTGCCAGTGCTGGAGATTTTGCAGAACAGCACCACGAGCAGCACAGGCTGGGGAGGGCTCATCCCTGGAAGCCTGTGTTCCTTAGGGATAAGGGCTGGCACAGGAAGCTCCCTCTGGAACCTGAGTGCTGGTGGGTTTAGAAGAGAAAGGTGACTTGTTTCCTGTGTCTCTGCAGGTAAACATGGATAAGTTGAAGGAAAGGGCTCAGAGGTTTGGGTTGAATGTCTCCTCACTCTCCAAGAAGGTAAGTCCAGAACACTCTGCACCTTCAGAGCACCTGGATGTGCTGTCTGAGGTTCTTCATCTCCTATCCCAGTGCTGTTTTCTTCCATTCCATTGTGCCTGTGTCTTCTGCTGGAGCTGGAGAGCTTCTCAGTTGTTCTCCCTGGTTTTGCCTGGGAAGAGGCGCCATGCAGCAGGTTTGGGGCATCTCCCACTGGAGATGACAGGGAATAACTGTTTGAAGTAGAGGTGAGATGGGCTTTGCAGGAAATGGATTTGCTTCCAAAACCACTGATTTTTTTCCAGGGGGGAGAGCTATCCCCAAGCTCTGCGCATAACCCCCTTCTGGGTCTCAAAGCAGCTCCTGATGGAGCTCAGCCCTGGGGTGGCAATGGAGCCAGGGACCTCCACTGGAGATGGATGGGATCCCTGGGATCCCTCTCCTGTTTTGTAGCAAACGATGAATTGAGGATGTAGAAGGAGTCAGTCAATCTGATGTGGATGCAGTGCCCTCTGTGCTTCCCAAGCAAACCCATCCCAACCCTTCCCTCCCCTGCCTGCTGATCCTGTGCTGATGGAAGGGGATTGTCCTGCAGGAAGAGCTGGATGCTGCTGGCATGGAGACCTCTCTGCTTGGTGTGGGTGAGAGCAGGGGAGGTTCATCCTCCTCCATCTCTCTGAAATAAGCTCCAGCCCTCCTCGGGGTTGGGGGGGGGGGGGGGGATTTGACCTGTTTTGCTAGGTTCCCACATCCAAGTGTTATCTCTCTGGCTCTGGGCATCCTCATGGAGGACACCTCAGTTGAAGGTCACTGTTCCCCCCTTGGCTTCTGGCCTCTGGGAATGGGGGAAGGAGCCATTAAAGACGGGATGTGTGGAGCTGAGGGTGAGAGGCTGCTCCAGCACCATTAACACCGTCCCTGGGAGCTCCCATTTTTCAGGAGGAATCAGTTCCTTGGCAGCCCTTATGGCCGTGGCCTTCCAGAGCTGCAGGGCTGTGGGGCTAAAGTTTAAGAAAGCCGCAAGGCACTTACAGAAGGAATCGGCTTCCCAGCCTGGGCCATGTTCCCAAACCAGTTCCTCACTGGGAGCTTCTGGCCCAGGGTCAGAAGTTGGTGGCTTCAGGCTCCAGGTGACCCAGTGTGGGTTTTGTCCCCCCTTGGCCTCACCTCCCCACGGCTCCTTTTTGTTTTCTCCCCAGGAAGCTGAGTTCATGGGCTTCCGAGTGGCTTTTCCCACTGAGCGGAGCACGCTCCCGCATTCCCAGCAGGAATGTGCCTGGGCACTTTAATTAGCTGCTGGCATTGTGCTTCCCACCTGGGTGCTCTTTATGGCTGCTCGGCCTGCGGGAACCCAGTGCTGTTTACATGCGTGTCAGCAGGTTTTCCTCCAGCCCCAACTTTACAATCAGCCATTGTCCCTGTGGAGCTTCTCCTGGATCCATGCAGCAGGAATGGGAAGGGGAGGGGGAGGATTTCAGTGCCTGTGAACTCCTGTGGAGCTTGGAGCCCCCCCTCTCCCCATCAGCACCCTGGGCTGGGAGTCTTTCAAGTTGAAAGTGCCCCTTCCAAAGGGATTCAGGATAGGATAGGGATGGGATGGGGATGTGGGAGGCAAGTGCTCCCTTGTCTCCAGGCACCACGGGGCCATTAACTCATCTCTAAGCTAAATCAAGTGAGGGCTCCTCTCCCCTTTGGCTTCATGTTCCAGCACCCACATGCTGCCCTCCCATCACCACCCTTTGACTCCTGTTCCTTGTACTTAACGCCCCCCCAGTGTCTGTGATTGGTCCCTCTCCAAGCTGCTCCTTGGGTTGATGCTGTGGAGGGAGCTGCTGTGGGTGCTTTGCCCATTGGAAGTCTCCTGCTGGGAGATGCTGGCATCCACTGGGCAGCGGGAGGCCTCAGCCTGTCACAAAGGCTCCATTGGCCACCTTTGTGTTCCATTAGCAAACACCTTTCCCCAGCCAGCAGATGAGTGAAGTAATTGGCTCTTCCATCTCCTCTTTAGTGGAGCCTGAGGAGCAATTAGTGGATTAACCCCTGGCCACTCAGATTGGGAGCAGGAGGTGACTCTGCTCCCAGGTTGCTCCAGGCCAGGAATCCTACTTGGAGCCCTTGGACCTTGGGGGGGAACAAAGGATGCTGTGTCCCAAGCAGCAGCATGGGACCCTCGAGTGTCCCCTTGAGCCATGGACTCTGGGAGGAGTTCAGGTTCTCCGCCAGCCCTGCTGGCAGCTTCATGCCAGTTGAATCCTGGTTAATGAGGATGTGAGATCCATGGAGCTGCTGCTGGGAGATGCTGGAGGAGCTTGGGGGCACTGGACCAGCAGAGCCCCTGTGTACAAAACAGCTAAATGAGAGCAAGGAAACAATCAGCTGAATTGTTTGCCTTCCAGCAAGCTCCTGACAACTGCTTCTGGATCAGTCCTCTTCTATTCCCAACACCCCTGAGGAGAGCCCAGCTCTCTGGAGGGGTCCCACCCGAGCAGAGGGGGAGAATCCCCCTCACCTTGGCCTCAAGGAGCTTTACAGCACCAGGTGAGAACCCTGTGCAGGGCATGGGCTCGCTGTAGTTGGGTGCTGCAGCATGTCCGCAGCCCGTGCTGCACCATGTCCCCTTTCCCAAGTGGAGCTGCTGGCTGTGGGCTGTTGCTTTGGGATAATGGGAAGTGACAAGGTGAAAAATAGCACTGGCCATGGTGGGGGCTTTACCACAGTGGTGCTGCAAGCCCAGAACCTTGTGGTTGGGCACATGAGAACGTGCTGACACCCTCCTGCAGCAGATAAGGCTCTGGCTTCTGTTCTCTTCCCGGTGCTTGCTGGGTGGTGTCTTCACTTGGAGATAACCCCGTGGTGGTATCCAGGGAGCCCTGTGTCCTGGGCAGAGCTCCGGGGGGACCCCGACCTCCCTCTGCCCACGCGGATGGTCCCGCACTGGCCCCGCTGTGAAACAGAACTTCGCTTTTGTCCCTAACACAAATACATCTTTTCCCCGCCCCCCCCTCCTCCTCTATTCTGATTCAATCAATGATGTCATTATGTCCCATTCAGGGGCTCGGGAACCATTTGGCTGCAGGAATTTGGAGGAGAGGCTGGGGAAGAATGGGAACGGCAGCACCAGCTCCCTCCAGGCCTGAGGAACAAAGTCAGATTTCCCCTTACCCCTGCTCCAGCAGGGGGGACCAAAGTGACGGCACTCATGGGGCACAGGGGGCGTGCGTGGCCAGGCAGGAGCCCTCCTGTCCCAGTAAATCCTCTTAGGAGAATTGGAGCGACTCTTGAAAGACTTGATGGGTTTGCACCCACTGGCAGCACTGGGCTCTGCAGGGATGTGGCACTGAGTCAGGAATCACAGTGTAAAATCCCAGCCTTGTTTGGGTTGGAAGGGACCTTAAAGCTCCTCCAGCTCCAACCCCTGCCGCAGACAGGGACCCCTTCCACTTTAGCAGGGTGCTCCAAGCCCTGTCCAGCAAACACTGCCAGGGATGGGGCAGCCACAGCTCCTCTGGGCACCCTGTGCCAGTGCCTCAGCACCCTCACAGGGAAGGAAGAACTACCCAAGAGCTCAGCTCAGTCTCCCCTCTGGCAGGTTCAAGCCATTCCCCTTGGCCTGTCCCTGTGGGCCCTTCTCCAAAGCCCCTCTCCGGGTCTCCTGCAGCCCCTTTAGGCACTGGAGCTGCTCTAAGGTCTCCCCTTCAGGAGCCTTCTCTTCTCCAGGCTGACCCAGCCCAGCTCTCTCAGCCTGGCTCCAGAGCAGCGCTGCTCCAGCCCTTGCAGCAGCTCCGTTGCATCTTCTGGTCTCGCTCCAGCAGCTCCACGTCACTCTTCTGTTGCTGCTTCAGAGCTTCCCACCCCAACCATTCCTGCGGAGGTGTCTGTGTCTCTGGTGTCCTCCCCACTGTGCCCCACGGCACTTGCAGCGCCCACATTTTTCCCTTAGAGTTTTCTTATTCTACCAACTCCTTCAGCTTTATCTCCTTATAGCAGTATCCCATGGGCTCATTCTGGTGCCTCACAGGGAAGGGTTAACCTTGCCCTGGGGTGCTGCACGCCTCCATCTTGAATAGAATGGCTTGATTTAGGTTTGGGTGGTTCTGAGGCTCATGTGCAATTCAATGATGTTCCGTCATCACCCATCTCAGAGCAGCTGGACTCTGGCCCTGCCAAGTGGCTTTAACTCTGCTTCCTCCTGCCTAGAGCCACGTCTCTTGCTCCCAAATATAACTTTCCATTCCTCCTCCCTACAGAGCCCCTTTGGGGTCTCCAACCAGAGAAAGCTCAGCACCAGCAGCTACCATCCCTGGAAAATACTGCAGTTGGGTGGGATTTGGTCTTCTCAACCTGTTTTCCAGGATGTGTGTTGGGAGAAGCGGCGCAGAGCTGTCTCAGGGCTGCCCATTCCTCTTGGCCTGTGTTGCAGAGAAGGTGACTATGTCCAGGAGAGCAGCTGGGGACCGGTCCTGCACCATGCAGAGGTGGTCCGTCAGCATCCTCCTTCAGAGGACATAGAGGCTCCTTCAGCAGCTTCTCAGGGTTCCCATTGCCTTGTGTAGATCAAGGTCTTCCATGACTTGTGCCGGGGTCTCCCCTTGTGCAGGGCTCATCGCAGTGCTCCCAGAAGGGTTTAGCACTGGCTGTGTCTCACCTGAGCAGGGTCCTTGTGTTGGAGTCGTTTGGAGGATGGTGGTGACTCAGTCCCAGTGCGTATCCCGTGGGCCCAGCCCCACATCCCGGCTGGAAGCCTGTGGTGCTGTTGGAGTGTTGCTGGCTCAGCTTTGTGTGGCTTTGGGAGGAACAGACAGGGCTCCTGTCCTGGGGGGTGAGTGAGGACCCACCATGGGAGAGGGGGGTACACGTGGAGCAGCTCCAGGTGTCCCAGGAGCCACTAGGGGAGTGCACAAAGACGGCCAATGCAGCTGCACATCCCGACCCATGGGAGGCTGTCACTCAGCCCCAGGCATAGGGAGGAGACTGCTTGCCCTTGAGTGTTCCATAACCTTTACCTTTGGGAGGTCAAGGCCGTGTCGTCATTAATCTCCTGATGCCTGAAAGCCTCAGGGCTCTGCTTTTCATCCTGCCATCCGTCATGCTGCAGCCGGCCACGGGCGGGCCACCAGAAGGCTCTGGCTGCGTCCACACATGCAGGCACCCACCCTTTGCCTTCCCAGGACATGGATATGGAGGCTCATGTGTGCATCTGCATCAGGGATGAGGAGCTGGGCTTCAGCTGCAAACCCGGGGACGTGTCCTTCTGGGGATGCTTTGATCTGCAGAGGATCTGCCATGCGGCACAACGCGGAGCTTGGTCTCCCATGGGGACTCACAGAGCTCTGCCACACGTGGTGAATGGTTCTGAGAAGTTTGTCCTGCTCCTGCCCAGCACCACACACGAGAGATGCTTTTTTATAGCCTGACATCAACTTTAATCCACTCTCTGGGCACTTCCTCTCCATCCGAGTGTGGTCCTGAGTCAAGCAGAGCATTGACGCTGAGCTCCGTCCCTGAGGTGTGAAGGTGAGCAGTGGTGCTGGAGCTGTGCTGAAACCAGATCAGTGCCATGGGTGCCAGAGCCCTGCTGTTCACCATGAAAACCATAATTAATGCCTTTTGGCATTAACACTTCTGGCACCAGCCTCAGTGCCTGAGTCTGACCTCAGGAGAGAGGCAGGATCCAGGGTTTGAATGGATCTGTTGGGAGTAAGCAGCTCCCACTGTCTACAGGGGCTACAAGAGACCTGGAGAGGGGCTTGGGACAAGGGCCTGTAGGTACAGGCCAAGGGGAATGGCTTGAACCTGCCCGAGGGGAGACTGAGCTGAGCTCTTAGGCAGAAGCTCTTCCCTGTGAGGGTGCTGAGGCGCTGGCACAGGGTGCCCAGAGAAGCTGTGGCTGCCCCATCCCTGGCAGTGCTCAAGGCCAGGTTGGACACAGGGGCTTGGAGCAAGCTGCTCCAGTGGAAGGGGTCCCTGCCCGTGGCAGGGGTTGGGGCTGGAGGAGCTTTAAGATCCCTTCCCACCCAACCTGTTCCATGATTCCATGGTCTCTGAGAGAAGCAGCAGATCCCGAGCTATTCCCATGGTGGTGGGTGCTGTTATTGACCCCCATGGTCCCACAGGGCTCACACACAGCTTGTGGGAGCACCCCCTTGTTTTCCTGCATTGAAGGAAAGGCTTCACCTCCAGCAATGGCTCCTTCAGGAGGGTTCGTTCCCCTCCTCTTTCCTTCACCCCCTTTCTAGACAAACCCCACAAACACCGATTGTGGGGGAGGGTGAAGGGAACAAGGTGAGAAGAGGCAAGGTTTGGGGCTAAATGTGCCCCCCCAGCAGCCAGGGCAGCTTTCCCCACAGCCCTGGGTGCTGCCAGGCCTGATGGATGCAGCATGGGGGGAGAGGGATCATTGTCCTCAGCTGGGTTCCAGCACCCCATGAATCAAGCGCTGTCAGCGTGAGCCTGGGGATGGAGTGAAGTTCATTGTACCCATGTTGGCGGCTGACACCGGCATGCAGGGGGTCAAGTGAGAGCTTGCTGGGGCCGTGCTGCTGGAGCATGGGGGGGGACCCCAAAGGGAAATAACCCTGCAGCCCCCCCAGGAGCCACTCATCCTCCTGAGCACTGCCAGGGGTGGGGCAGCCCCAGCTCCTCTGGGCACCCTGTGCCAGTGCCTCAGCACCCTCACAGGGAAGGAAGAACTACCCAAGAGTTCAGCTCAGTCTCCCCTCTGGCAGGTTCAAGCCATTCCCCTTGGCCTGTCCCTGTGGGCCCTTGTCCCAAGCCCCTCTCCAGGTTTCCTGCAGCCCCTTTAGGCACTGGAGCTGCTCTAAGGTCTCCCCTTCAGGAGCCTTCTCTTCTCCAGGCTGACCCAGCCCAGCTCTCTCAGCCTGGCTCCAGAGCAGAGCTGCTCCAGCCCTTGCAGCAGCTCCGTTGCATCTTCTGGCCTCACTCCAGCAGCTCCATGTCCCTCTTGTATTGCCCCCGAGCTGGATGCAGGATGCAGGGGGGTTCTCCTTTTTCCTTCCTGTCCTTTTCCTGCCACCCTCGTGCTCAAGCAGATAGACCACAGTGCCCTGGGGGTGCAAGACGTGTCTTGAGAAGGTTGTGCTTGGGGTCTGGTTGCAAATGGGGACAGGAGGAACAGGATTCCTCACGCAACAAGCAGCCTGGGCACTGCTAGCACCCTAAACCTTGGTACTTCTTTGTGCCAGAGTGAAGAGGATGAGAAGCTGAAGAAGAGGAAGGAGCGGTTTGGCATTGTGACAAGTTCGGCTGGAGCTGGAGCCACAGAGGACACAGAGGTAAAACCTGCCAGGGGCAGCTTCAGACTGCTCCTGGTTGCCAGAGCTCCAAGGCAGCAGCCCCTGATGAGGCTGGGTTGGGAACACATAAATACGGACAATTGGACTCCCCCAGGCTGGGGCCTCCCCATGTCTGCACCCAGATGGGCTCAGTAGAGGTGAACAGGGTTCCTAAGAGCCACCTCAACACTTCCAATGGGATTTGAGGCACTTGGCATGTGGAACTGGGCTGGGTTTACAGCAGCGAGGCATTCCCAGCCTGTGCCAGGGGCTGGCGGGCGAGGGATTCCATGCTTCTCCTTAGGTCACTTGGAGATTGTGCCTGGAACAAAAAGGTCTTTTCACTGGCATTGTGTGCACTCAAATGCACCTTTCCCCCAGAGACTCTTGATTGGGGCTTCTGCTGCCCCTGGGCTGTTTCCCCTGCTAGAGATGAAGATTTATATGCCACTCGTTTCTGGGCTCAAGGCAAAGCGGAGCAAGGCCATAGTGTATTTAATGTGTTTTAGTGTGTCCCTCTCACCTTCCCCATGAATAGGGCAGTGTTAACCCTTTGCCCTTTTCCATTTCCCACCTCCCCACCGCCTGCCCGTGCTTCCCGGCCTCTGAGGCCGCTTTGTTCACGGGCCAGCCCCTTCCCAGTGCCTGTTCCTGCCGCTCTGCTTCAGGGGGACTCTTTTGTCCCAGTGTTAGACCCAAATCCTGGGGCTCCCAGAGCTGCTGGCACCAGCGTTATTTCCAAGCACCAACCTCCTCATGGTTCCCCATTGAGTTCTGGGTGGGATTTGCTCAGTTGAATCTGCTTAGTTCTGATTCCTGCTTTTCCCTTGTCGTTCCTCTTGGCAGGCAAAGAAGAGGAAAAGAGCGGAGCGCTTTGGGATCGTCTGAGCCTTGTGCCCTTCTCCTCCTCACCCTTGCTCCCCCTTCCTCACATTCCCCCACTGTTCTTCAAGGTTTTAGCAAGGAGTAGGCAGGGAATCCCCCATAGTTGTTCCATTGTGTCCTTAGTGGTTTCCTACACTCCCAAGTTAAAGGTGAAGAAGGGTTGAGCAGAAGGAAGAACCCGCTTCCTGACTCGGTGCCGGGGCTCTCCCCAGCAGCCGGGACACAGAGTGGCTTTGTTCCCCCCATCCTGTGCTGGTCTCTGCTGTCCTGCCCTGGCACAGCCTCCGGGAAGGGGTTTCCTCAAGCAGCTGGTCTCCTGTTTCCAGCCATGGATGCAGCCGGTGGCTGGTTCCTCCCCAGTGAGGCCAATGGGAACTAGAACTGGAACTGCTGGAGTAAATGGTTTGCAAATGGACCCTCTCCCCGCTCTGGTCCATGGGGGTTTCCCAGGGTCCTCAGGGACACATTTCTGTCCTCAGCCATCTCCCTGCCTGGGATTCCAGATGGGCGCCACAGCTGGAATCCCACCCCTGTCCCAGTACCAACCCTTCAGGGTTCCTAGTTCTGACCATAACGTCTCCCCAGTGCGATCTTCAGTTCACCTTGTCCGTGCTGCAGAGCGGTGCTGGGGCCATGAAGGGAGCATCTGGAGGCTTATCCCTGGTCCTCGACAAGCAATAGATCCCATTTTTTTAATGTAGAAGCCTCCAAACCGCCTCTGTTGGGTTCCCGTTGTCAGCCAGTGACTCAGAGCAAGCCCTTGGCTATCCCTTCCCCACAAGCAGCTCTGGGGCTGTTGCTGCTGTGTGACACAAATCCATGTGGGAACATTCCTGAGGTGCCATCGGGTTTCTATGTCGGGTTTTGTACGAAGCATTTTCTATGGGCTCATGAGCTCCTCGCCGCTGGTTCCACATTTGTGGCCTCTTGTTCTTGATTTCATAATAAAACTGCTTCTCCAAGGCGAGGCCGGTCTCCAGGCACTGGATCCTCAGGCTCCAAGTCGTCAAATCCCAGCCTGGGTTGAGCTGGGAAGGACCTTAAAGCTCACACAGCTCCAACCTCTGCCACAGGCAGGGACACTTTCTACTAGAGCAGGTTGCTCCAAGTCCCATCCAACCTGGCTTTGAACACTGCCAGGGATGGGTGCAGGGATGGGGTCCAAGGGGGGAACAGCATTTCAGCACAGCCCAGAGGATCTCGGCTGGAGCAGGGACACGGCCGGTGTCCATGAAGCTGCAATGGTGGGGCCTGGAACCCAGCTGATCCAGAGCAGGAGCCATATCCTTGTGTCTGGTCCTTGTCCCAGAGTTTCCTTGCTCCTAGCCCCATGGGCCCTCCAGAGCCCACCCTGTCCCCTCCCGCCCCAGGGCTGTAATTAGCTGCGACATTCCCAGCATAGCTGCAGCCCCTAATGAGGCTCCATAAAGGCTGCTTCTGATCCCGGCTCCTCTGGCACTTGGGGCCACTTGTAAATCTCTACTTTACAACGGGGGGGGGGGAAGCGGAGGCCAGCAGGAGGGGCGGAGCTGGTGCTGCCATGTGCCCTGTGTCCCCTCCTCAGGGATCTGCTCCAGCTCGCAGTGGTGGGATGAGGCTTTTGGATGGTGAAGCCACCCGTGGGGCTGCACTGTGGGGTGAGCGGGTTCAGGATGTTGGGTGCTTCCAGTAGCGTTCCCAAGGTGCTGGGAGGGTATTCTGGGAGCTGAAGGGTGAGGACCAGTGTGTCCGGAGGCTCTGGCTGGGACATGCACCCGGGAATGCTGCTGGATTCCAGCCCTGCTCATCGCCCAGCGCTGGGAGCGTGGGAAAAATGAGAAGCATCAGGAACCATTTCCCGAGCTGGTGGCCCAGATCAGGCCAGGAGCTCCCGAGGGATGCAGGGGAGGAGCTGCCGTCACGCAGGGACCCAGCAAGTAGCCAAGGGTCCATCCTGGCATCAGCACCAGTGTGTGGGGATGGAGCCACTCCAGTGGGGATGCGGCACTGGCGATCCAGGGATCTGCACTGACCCTGGGATATGGTGCCAAGCCTGGGATCCAGTGCTGACATCACAATCCGGTGCTGGCCTTGGGATCTAGTGTGAGCCCCGCGATCTGCTCCCAACCCTGGTATGTGGTGCTGACCGTGGGACCTGATGTGATGCCTACCATGGGACATGGTGCAGCACCACAGACTCATCCCCAGCCCAGACGGTGCCCAACCAGCCCCGGCCCCAAAGTTTCATAGTGCAAATGGTTCCCAGCTCCTGGTGCAGGGGGTTTTCTGGAACATTTGGCATTCCCAAGGGCGACACTGCAGTCCTGAAGCTGGATTGATGGTTATTCTCATTCTTTTAATCTTTCTTTAATTTCTCTTTAATTTTCTTTATTTGTGTTGATGTCCAAGTGCTGTGTTTGGTTAAACCCCCCCCAGCCACTGGGGCCTTTGGGTCATGTGTCCCCTTGAGTCCCAGTGGCCACATCCTGGCCTCCCCTGAGCGACCAACATAGGACAAGACCCGGCGACAAGGGACCAGGGTGGGAAAGGAGAACATACCATAATAACAATTATAATAACCATGGAGTGACAGGGCAGGGGCAGCAGTCACCCAGCCACCCCTGCGCAGGGTCCCAGTGCTGCCTGTGCCGGGGGGCTGAGGTGCCAGTGCCCGGGGTTGACTGGTCCCAGTACCCTGTCTGGCCCCGTCCTTCCTCCGGGGCCCTGCGGGGCTCTGGGTCCTGGGCTCTGCGTTGGGTGATCCATGGCCGGGGATAGCTGCGGTGGCCAGAGCCACCCAGGCATGATGCCCATAGCTGGGGTCCCCCTGGGCTCCAGCAGGTGGTGATGGTTGTGGTGAAGGGTGTGGGTTGATCCAACTGAACCCCAGCCGGATCTTGGCCAGGCCATGGCTCCCTCAACTCAGGAGCAAGATCCCACGGCCCAGGCAGCTCCGTGCCCTTTCCAGTCCCTTCCAAGCGGATTCCAGCTCTTCCCTGCCATGTAGCTCCATTCCTGGTGGGCACTGGGGCCTGTCTCCATTGCTGGCAATGGCAGGACTGTGCTTCTCGCTGCCAGCACCTCCTTGGCCATGTCCGGTGTGGTTTCAGTGTCCAAGCAGAGAAGCCGCGGCTGGGGCTGGATGATCTCTCATGATCTGGACCAGAGAATGCAGCCCCCGAAGCACTGAGGGGCAATGGAGGGGACCCAGCACCTTGTCCCCAGCGTGTCACCACAGGGAGCACCACCGCTGTGTCAATGGGGGGGAACCTGCCGGCCACCCCTCAGCTCCCAGTTCTCCCACTCCCATCCCCTCGCGTACAGATTCAGGGAGCTGAGGCCGGAGCCACAGCAACGCTACGGCAAGGCCGGCATTGCCAGTGGCATCAGCCCTTAAGTGCTTGGTCACAGCTGGGGCTTGGCACCATGGGGCCATCGCCGTGTCCTCAGGAGCGCTTTGGGCCTGGTGGAGGCAGAGACAAGTGCTGCACTTCCCAGTGCCCCCGGCTCTGCCACGGCACTGTCCCTAAGTGCTACGTGGAGTACGGACGTGCCAGGCCTGACAGCAGCCGTGGGATGGAGACGTGTGTCCCGGTCAGAGCCATTGGCACCCTCAGGATAAGTGCTGGGGCCGGGCCAAGGGCACCGCGGTGCCCAGAGAGCCCTTGCTGCTGTGCCAAGACCTGAGACCCCCAACGGGAGACACCCGAACTGGAGCCCCCCCAAGGCTCTGGCTCCGCCAGCTACGCTGCGAGAGCTCTGGGTACCGGCGCAGCACAGGGACAAGCATTGCCATAGCGCCAGCAGCACCAGAGCCGGTGCCTGTGGCAAGTGGCAGCTCTGTTCTTCTCAATGCCCGGTGGTGCTGCTGGTGCCGATGGTGGTGCCATCCCCACGCAGGGCCGTGGGGGTGTCAGGAGGGGCAGGAGATGCCCCAGCAGAGCCCGGCCGGAGGGTGATTAATAAATAAATAAATTAAAGCAGGGGACGGTTCCCTCCCGCGCCGGAGCCGCCGCCAGAGCCCAACGGGCCCATCCCGGGGGTCCCGCTGCTGGCTTCTCCCGTCCTCAGCTGTCACCGTGGCCCTGGGGTGGGCAGGGGCGTCCCCATCCCCACGGGTGCTCCGGAGGTGTGGGATCCAGTGGCTTCCTCCTCTCCCTACCGCCGTGAAGCCGTGCCGGGGCTCCGCGCCGCCCCTTCCCTTCTCCGTCTGGTTGCGTTATTGCACAATGCAAGTCGAATCATGGGGTTGCTGCAGCGTTTCTCCGCGGGGTTTCCGTCTCTCTGCGTCTCTGTCCTCTTGCCCCAACATCCAAAGGAACCTCAACGCTTGTTCTTTGTATTTTGAAAAGAAAATAGCAAAAAAGAAACCCCCCCAAAACTCCCACCCCCACAAAAGTGGCAGGAAAGAGGCCGGTTCAGAGGCGGGGGGGGGGGGTGCGGGGCAGCAGCACCGGCTCTAAGAGCATCCACATCGGTCCACTACCATGCCCGGGATCTTGCCGTAGATGATCTGCTGCTTGTCATTGAAGTAGAGCATGTTGATGGGGGACATCTTGGTGGGGGTGCAGCAGGGCCCGGCCGAGCCGCGCGGGTTGGCCTGTTGCACGAGGTGGGTGTGCGGGTACTTCTGCATGAACATGTACTCGCACTGCCCCGAGCAGTAGTTGGCTTTGTACCTCTTGGGCGCGATGATCCAGTCCCAGCCGAAGGCCTCGAAGTCCACGGTCAGGGGGTAGCGGCAGCAGCGCGACTCGGTCGAGTGCTCGTCGCAATCCAGCCCCAGGTTGCGGCGCGAGCGCTTGTTGTTCTCCAGCACCCTCAGCTCCATGAAGGGGTGCTGGGGGGGAGAGGAAGGATGAGACCCACTGAGCCACCACCCCATGGTCCCACCATTCCCTCTGCCCAGGTCCCACACAGCCCGCTGGAGCCATCATGGGCCCCATGCAGCTGCTGCTGTCCCCACAGAGCTTTCATTGGCCTCATGGAGGTGTCGCCAGCCCCGGGAGGCTGTCATTGTCCCCATGGAGCTGTGACTGCCCCCACAAGCTGTGACCAACCCCACAGAGCTGCGTCACCAACTGTGACCGCCCCCATCACCCTCCAGCTCCCCAGGGAGCCCCTCCAGCCCCAGATCAGGCACGTACCAGCCCTTCGGCACCAGGCCCCAGTGACGTGACAGCCAGGTCGTTCCCGTTGGGGTCGAAGGCGTTGATTTCAATACCCCAGTTGTTCTGCGGCTGCTTGAACCAGTTCTGCAGCACATGCTTGAAGTCGATGCTCTGCCAGTGCCCGAGGCGGGAGTTGAGGTCGATCTTGAGTGAGCGGATGCGGATGTGGCGGCTGCCTTCCTCCGTCACAGGCTTCAGGCGGAGGATCTGCAGGTAGACGGTGGAGGTGTGCTGCACGGGCCGCAGGTACACCCACAGCTGTGCCTTCACCACCTTCGTGAACATGACCTTGGGGCTGAAGTTGAAGAAGCAGCAATGGGGGTTGCCCTCGATCTGCACCACGGGGTCCGCTGTGGGAGGAAGGAGGCATCAGGGGCAGCGCCGGGACCCCCCTCATCATCCTCATCCTCTTTACCCTCATCATCTTCATCCTCCTCATCCTCCTCATCATTCTCATCCTCCTCATCCTCCCCAGGATAAACTCATCCTCAGTCATTAGCAGGTGAAGGTCAAGCCAGAGGCTGCCCTGGGGCTCATTCCCCTTCATCCTCAGCAAGGTCCTGGCTTCCCCTGACCCCGTGTCACCTGGGATTCTGGATCCCCCATTTGGACGAGGGCTGAGCGGGATGGGGGTGCTCCAGTGACGGTGCTGCAGCTGGTCCACGGCACCGCACGGTTGCCCCCATGCACCTACCATGGGGCAGCCCCACACCTCAGTGGGAGAGGGACAGGGACAGGGCTCAGGGGTCCCGCCCACCCTCCCCCCGCTGCTCTGGCATTCCCTGCTCCACAAACACATCTGTGTCAAATTGAGCTGGGAATTCCGCCCCCCGCCACGCACCGGTCAGGTTTAATAGCACCCAGCTGCAGCGGGGCCATTTGCTGCAGCGGGGCCTCCCTGGCACATGGGGGTCACGACACCGGGAGCCCCCCAGCCACGCTGTGGCGGCCCGGCAGACACACCCCCCTACAGTTTGCTGCCCCACAGCCCCATGTTAAACCCCTGATCCCCGGGGGACCCCCAAAGCCATGTTGGGTTCCCCCCGGCTCCCAGCTGGGGCAGTTTGTGCCACAGCCCCTTGGCCACCAGTCACCAGTGGGACATTGTCCCAGCCTGGCCAGCAACCACCACAATGTGTCCTGGTGCTCCCGGTGGCTTTGGAGGCTGTAGATGTGTCTATGGCGGGGGTTGGTTTGGGGGGTTCTCCAGATAAGAGATGCTAGAGTCGGCACCGAACCCCCTCACCACTGCACCAAGGTACCGGTGGCGCCAGTGGCATCAGTGACCTGTGTCCTGGCCTTTATCCTAGCATCCCGGGGGGCACAGGGGGGGTTAGGGGTTGCTGGGAGTGTGGGGAGGTCTGTGCCATGCCGGCTGCTCCTGGCACTGCCAGGATACTCATCCGGTCACTGTGGCAACGGCGAATAAAGGATAAAGGTCCCTGGGACACCTGGAGGGGGGTGGCTCCTGACCCCCCCCCAAGCCCTTTGTTCCCAATGGGCCACGTTTGGGGCTCCCACCCTTGTCCTATTAACCCTTTGCCTAGTGTGGGGGCCTGGAGAGATGCCGCCCCCCAGGTCCAGTCCCGCTATGTGCCATCAGCGGCGCCATGGTGTCCCCATGTCCCCCCATCCCGCTGACCTTGAGCCCCCCCAGCAGCACCCCCCCAGGACCCCTCATTACGGGTCGTGGGGTCACGGGTAGCCCCTAAATTGGTTTAGGACCCAATTAACCCCCCTCGGGGCCCTTCTGCCATTAAACCCCCGGGGGTGGGGGGCGTTGGGGGGGATGGGATTACCGGGGGGAACACGAGAGCTTTATGGCTCTGCCGCCTGTGAAGCCCTTTCCCTCCTCCTGCTCAGGAACCATAAAACCCACAAATTGCCCTGGGGGAGGGGGGGGGGGCGGGAAAAATCATAATGATAACGGGGTGGCTGCAGCCAGACTCTGCGGTGCATCCGGCTGCGGCGGGGCCGGGACCCCCGGAGAGGAGCTGGGGGCAGGAGCCGCCCCATACTCTTTATGTCTGCCCCCCCCCCCCGTCCCCGGGCTGTTAAATGGGCTGGGGGGGAGGCAGGAACCCCCCGGCGGGGCCGAGATTTTATGGGTAATAAAATTTCAAAGCCGCCCGAATCTATTAATGGCTGGGAAGGGAATTGGGACGGGGGGGGGGGGCCGCGCCTCGCACTTCCCTCCCTTCCGCCAGCCCTTCGCACCCGGCCTCCCTCCCCTTCCCCGGCCCCGTGTCCACCTCCCCGCCGCGGGGGTTCTGCAGACTCATCCCACGGCCGGAGCAGGTGGAATCAGGGAAACTGAGGCAAGAGCCAGGCAGAGGAAGCAGGGACGGATGCACAGAGCATCCCCCATGGCATCCCCCCAGGGACACCTGCTGCTGTCACCCACTGTCACCTCGCTGTCACCCACCCCATGCACCCAGCATGGTCCCAGCACCCAGTGAACAGTGCCAGTGTCAAGTGCCAGATCCTTACACCCATCACCAGTGATAGTGCCCAGTTCTCCTACAGACGGGTGCCAGTACCAGGCCCCAGTACCTAGTGTCAGTTCCCAGCACCCAGTGATGAGTCGCAGTGCCGGTGCCAGGTTCCAGCACCTGCTACCATCTCCCAGCACCCAGTGACAGGTTCCAAACCCTGTTACAAGTTCCCAGCACCCACTGGCCATTCCCAGTCCCATCTCAGCTCCCAGTGCCCGGCACCGGCTCTCCCCGTATCCTGGTGCGTGTCCCGGGATTCGCACAGAGCCATCCCGGGTAGCGGGGGAGTGACAGAGGGAAAGCGGGGGCCGTCGGGGGGGTACCGGGGGATGCCGGAGGGGAACCGGTGGGGTGTCCCAGAGGGCTGGTACCTGCAAGGGGCTTTAGGGGAGACACCGAGGAACACGGGGGTGGGATGGAGGACACTGGGGGTAGGATGGGGGGGGACCAGGGGCGGGATGGGGACAGCGGGAGTGGGAAGGGGGACACCGGGGGTGGGATTGGGGTGCCCGCGGGCGAAGTTTGGAGCGGCGGCGGGGCGGAACAAAGGCGGCACTGACTTTCCTGGGCCATGCTGATGACGGTCTCGGTGGTGGCGTGGTACTCGTCCTCCTCCAGGTACTCGTCGTGCTGCAGCGAGTCCCCCTGGAAGTCGTGGAGGTCGAGGAGCTGCTGGAGCGGGGGGGCCTTGGGCAGCAGCTGCTTCACCACCTCCCGGGTGATGTTGGGCGCTTCCTTCAGCCGCAGCTTGCTCAGGATCTGAGACTTGATGCTCTCCAGCCGCAGCTCTTTGCTGTGCCTCCGCCACAGGCACACCGGGCAGGAGGGCTCCGAAGCACTCCCCGTTCCAGTAGTGCCCCCCCCTCCCGTTCCCACCGCCGCCGCCGCCGCCGCCAAGAGGCAAAGCACCACCGGGGCCATACCGGGAAGCAAAACGTCCCCACCACCACCGGGGGCCGGCCCCCCCCCGTTCCGCTTCCACCGCAACGTTTTTAACGGGGGGAGGAGGGAGAAAACAGGGAGGGGAGGGGGGGGCGCGGCGGAACGGGGGGAAGGCGGGAACGGTGCCGGGGGGCGGGGAAGCGGGGGGGGGGGTGAAAGGAAAAAGGGGAGGGGGGGGGAAAGGAAAAAAAAGCGGCGGTAACGGCGGCCCCGGGGTTTTATACCCCAAGAGAAGTGTGTCGTCACCGGCCATGATTGGCTGCGGCCGCACAAAAGAGGTTCGGGCAGGGGCTTGGCACCAGCCGCCGCCGGCCCCCCGAGCACCGGGAACGGCCTCGCAGCCACCGGGTCGGAGAGATGCCCCCCCTGAGTCAAATCCCTCCCTTGTATCGGGGGGCGGCACCGGTGGGACCCAACTCCTGGCAAGTGCGGCGGGGAGGGGGAACCCCGGCACTTGCCGAGAGTTGGGTCCCACCGGTGCCGCCCCAGTAAACCGGGGATACGCATCCCGGTGGGTGTCTACGTGTGTTATCCCGTCCCCCCCGCTGCCCTGCTCCCCATCAGAACCATGGAGAGGGCAAACCGGAGGCTCGGCAAACCCGTGGTAGCGGGGCTGCAACCGGTCACTCGCCCTTCTAGCGGTGCAGAGACTCCCCTCTACGATACCAAACCAGCACCGGTGGGGTGAAGGTGACGAAGGAGCCATCCCGTTATCCCATTATCCTCCCCCCAGCTACTCCCCACTACCGGAGCGGTGTCAAGCGCATCCCGCCAGGGGGCGACACAGCGCAGCCGGTAATACCGAAGCGGGGCGAGGACGCCACCGTGTGGCGCTGGGAGGCACAACCCGCACCGGTACCCCGGGGGGGGGGGTTAGGGTTCCCGTAGGAGGCGGGATGAGGTGGGAGGGAAGTGTTTGTTATGGGGGGTGACCCCCAACCGTTCCCGCTGGGGCCGCTCCCCGAGGCATCACCGAATCTCGGTGTCACCGGTCCCGCGGCGGCGGAAGCTACAAAGCTACAAGCGGAAGCGGGTGGCGGCGCGGGGAGCACTGACAGCAGCGGGTGCGCCCCCCCAGCCCCGCTGGCGGTTTTACCCACGCCGCCCGGTACCGAGGGGGTTAAAGCGGCGCCGTGACGCGGCCCGGCCGGCCCCGCCCCAGCGGCCGCCCCCCAGGAGCTTCGAGAGGCACTGACCCCGGTAACGGCAAAGGCGGGGCGGGGGGGGGGAGCCGGAGTGGGCTGGGGACCCTCCCGGGGGCATCGCAGGTGGGGGGAGCAGGGAAGGGTGTCCCGGGGGGTGGGGGGGGGGCACATGGGCGCCCCGGAGTGGGGGGAACAAGGGAGATCCGGGGGGGTGCCAGGATAGGTCTCGCTGTGGGGGGTTGGCCCCATCACCCCTCAACGCTCTGGGGGCAGTGGGGACCTGCCCCCCTGCCCTGCTGTGTCTTGTGGCCAGCCCCACATCCTTGTACCCCTGTCCCCATTCCCATGTCTCCACGTGTCCGCATCCACATCCCCATGTCCCTGTTTCCTCATGTCCCCACAGTCTCACGTCCCTCCATCCATGTCCCCATGTTCCCATGGACCCATGACCCCATCCTCACATCACACGTCCCTACATCCCCACATCCACATCCCCACGTCCAAGCTGTGGCCTCTGGCATTGGGTGGGATCACTGTAGCCAGGTCCTCACCCTGCCCAAACCCCAGAACCACTGGGCTGGGTGGTGGGGCCAGGCAGGAGGTGGGAGGCCACGTCACCGCAGTGCCACGTCCCCTCAGGCCCGTGTCCCCCAGCCCTGGCCATGGCTGGGCTGCTCCAGGCCCTGGTGAGTGCCTCAGAGAAGGCTGCGGATATCGCCCGGCTGTGCCGGCGGGAGCAGCCGCTCTTCCAGCTCCTGGTGGCCGAGAAGACAGGACCCGACCGGAACCGGAGGTTTCTGCAGGACTTCAAGACGCTGGCGGATGTCCTCATCCAGGAGGTCATCAAGCATGACCTGGGGAGGGAGGTAGGGATGGGATGCGGTGGATGGCATGGGGTAGCATGGCATGGCATAAGGCGGGACAGGGTGGGATGAGGTGAGTGCTCCCCGTGCGCTGCAGCTGAGCCACCCCATCCCCAGTTCCCAGAGCTGCAGGGCCACATCCACGGCGAAGAGTCCAGCGAGTTCAGGAGCCCTGAGGGTGAGTCTGGGGGTGCAGCTGGGCTGGGGGGGGGGCACCCCCACTGCAGAGGTTGGTTCTGAAGCCAGGGCACCACAGGGGAGATGGTGACGGTGCGGGTGTGCGCCACGCCGAGGGACACGGCAGCGCTGCTGCTGGCGGTGCTGGGGCCTGAGCACGAGGCCGCGGAGCTGCTGTCGGACGCTGTGCACCGGGACGTGGCACTGGCAGATGCGGCGTTGGCTGGCGTGGAGCTGAGCATCCCCCCTCAGGACCTGGCCATCTGGATAGACCCCATCGGTGAGGGGGTTCTGGCACAGGCTGGGTCAGGATCCCCCCATCCCCATGGCTGAGCTCCGGCTTCACCCACAGACTCCACCAACGAGTACATCCGTGGGAGCGAGGATGTGAGCCCCGTCGATGGCATTGCTCCGGCTGGGCTGTGCTCAGCACTGGTGCTCATCGGCGCCTACAACCGGCACACGGGCTGCCCCGTGCTGGGCGTCATCAACGAGCCCTTCTTCCAGCGGCACTCCGAGACGCACAGGTACCGGCACCAGGGGCAGCACTGGGGTGAGCGGGACCCCACTGGTGCCTGCACTGAGGGTCCCCGTCCCCACAGGTGGCAGGGCCGGTACCACTGGGGCGTCGCTTATGGGGACACGCGGCTGAGCTCACTGAGCCCCCCAGGACCGTCGCTGGTGCCACGCGTGGTGCTGAGCCGCGCTGAGGCGCCAGCAGTGCGGGCGGCGCTGAAGCCTCTCTGCGGCGGGCGCCTGCTCTTCGCTGCCGGTGCCGGGTACAAGCTGCTCTGCGTCATCCTCGGGCTGGCGGACGTCTACGTGCTCTCGGAGGGCAGCACCTTTGCCTGGGACGCCTGCGCTCCTCACGCCATCCTGCGTGCCCTGGGCGGGGGGATCGTGGCCTTGGCAGGGGCCTTGCAGGCGCGGCGAGCAGGGGGCATCGGGACCCCCCCCGAGCTGGTTTACAACCGCCCCATAGACGGGGCAGATGGGGCTGAGCGCTGGGCAAACTGCGGCGGCCTTGTGGCCTACGTGGACCCCCAGCACCTTGAGGCCGTGCTGGCCACGCTGGACACCGTGCTGGGGCTCTGAAAGCATGGGGGCCAGGGGTGTGGGTCACAGGGTGGCAGGACCAGGGTACAGGGTGTCTGGGACCAAGGGTGGTGGGTCACTGGGTCGTCAGGTCATAGAGTATAGGACGTCAGGGACCTCTGAGTGCAGTGTATGAGGTGTCTGGTCCCTCAGGGTGCAGCTTATGGGGTGTCAGGGACCTCTGGGTGCAGGCTTTGGCGTTTCCAGGGGGTGGACCAAGGGTGGCAGGATGCTGTTGTGGGGTGTCCAGGATGCTGTTGTGGGGTGCGGTTATGGGGTCCCAGCTGCAGTGTCTTTGCGATGGGAGCTCTGTGATGCTCCTCCGTACTCCCAAGCCCCCCCATTAAAGCGTCCCCCGCACCCGGTGTCTGTGCTACCGGGGGGGGGGGGGGGGGGACCCGCGGGGGGGGCCGGGCGGGCCCGGGGCGGTGCCGGTGCTGCCCGAGGACTCGCCCCGGTCCCGTCACATGATCGCGGAGCGGGCGGTGGAGCAGGAGTGCCGGTGAGCGCCCGGGGACGGGAGCGGGAGCATAAGCAGAGGAGGGGACAGGAGCGGGAGCGGGGACAGGGACAGGGACGGGAGCGGTACTGGGGCTGAGCGGCGGCTCCCGCAGGACGGGCCATGGCGGTCGAGGGGGGGATGAAATGCGTGAAGTTCCTGGTTTTCGTGTTCAACTTCATCTTCTGGGTGAGTGCGGGGCCGGGGTGGGGGGGGGGGAAGCCGGGCGGGGAACCGGAGAGAACCGGGAGGGAACCGGGGGAGGAGGACTCGGGACCCGCCCCAGTCTCCCGTCAGGCCGCGGCCCCTCTCGCTGGGAGTCAGGCACCCCGGGCTGGGAGGGGGGGTCCTGCCCGCACCGGGCCCTGCCGGTGCCCCCCGCCGCCATCAGGAGGTTCCAGGAGTAACGCGGCCGGTACCGGCGGTACCAGGGACCCCAAGGCCGGGGGGGGCACACGCACACACACACGCCCCCCCCAGGGGGTGACCGGGACCCCCCGGTCTCTGCGGGGCTCCCGCGGGGGGGGTCAGGGGGAGGTTTGGGGAAGTCGGGGTGAGGAAGGAGGCGCCAACGGCCGAAGCGGGGAGCGGGGGCACAAACCGGCCCTTTCCTGGCGGGGAGGGCCTCGTCCCGGTCCCCACCCCGGTCCTGTGGGGCTGAGTCACCCCTCAAGGGCCTCGGGCCACGCGCCAGCACGGGCGGGGGGGCCGCGACGGGGACACCGGCGCCAGCCCCCCCCCGGCTCCCCCCAGGAGTGTTTGTGCAGCCGGGCCCGGCCCAGCGAGCAAACAGGAGCCGGGGGGGGCACAGAGGCCGGGGTGACGGCCCCACACCCTGCCCTGGCGCCCCAGCACCGGGGGGGGGCTGGCGTTGGTTCCCCCCCCCCCCCGCAGCTCTCGCCGTGGCCGGAAGGCTGCGCTTCATCCTGGACTTCCGACGTTCCGCGGCAGCCAGCGCCGGGAGGGTCCGTCCGTGGGGCAGGATCGGGCCCCCCGTAACCCCCTGCACCCCCAGAGCGTGGCTGGGATAGGAGGGAGAGGGGGTCCCTCCCTGTGACCCCCCAGTCAAAGGGAGGATGCAGGTGCCCCCCCCCCGTCATCGGGGGGCTCCCGGCTGCCCCCCAGCGGCTCTGCCCCCCCCAGGTATGCGGCGTCGCCCTCGTGGCCATCGGGATCTACGTGCAGGTGGCCTTGGATAAGGTGCTGGTGGTGAGCTCGGCCTCAGCCGCCGGCACCCCTGTGGCCATCCTGGTCCTCGGCGTCATCATCTTCTTCATCTCCTTCTTCGGCTGCTGTGGAGCCTGGAAGGAGAGTTACTGCATGGTCACCACAGTAAGCACCTGGACCCCCCTGAGACCACTGCAACCCCCCCCCCAGAGCTGCCCAAACACCCCTCAAACACTCCCCAAGACTCCCTCACTGCACCCTGCAAGGAGAGTTACTGCATGGTCACCACAGTGAGTGCCAGGCTCTCCAGACACCCCCAGAGACCTCCAAGCACCCACACTGCACCTTGCCCCCCCCACTTTAATACCCACCCTGACTCCCCCCGCTGCACCCTGACACCCCAACCTGTCCCCCCCCACAGTTCGCCGTCCTCCTCAGCATCATCTTCCTGGTGGAGGTCGCCGCTGCCATCGCCGGATACGTCTTCAAGGACAAGGTGGGGACGAGCAGGAGGGGAGGAGGGAACGGCCCCATCCAGGGGTGCTGGGACCCCTCTCACCCACCCAGCCCTTCTGTGCCCCCCCCCCCCAGGTGCGCTCGGTGCTGAAGGACAGGCTCTGGGATGCAATGAACAAGTATGAGGAGGACAAAGCCCTGACGGAGGCGGTGGATATGATCCAGAGGGATGTGAGCGATGGGATGGAGGGGGGGACACATGGGAACCCCCCCCCTTGACCCATTGGGGACCCCACTGACCCTCCCTCTCTGCAGTTCTCTTGCTGTGGAGCCAACAACTACACAGACTGGAGCAGCATCGAGCGGTTCCAGGTGAACAACACGGTGCCTCAGTCCTGCTGCCGCGTCAACAGCACAACGTGCAACATGCACCCCAGCCCTGCCACCGTCTATGAGAACGTGAGACACCCCCAGCCCCCTGTGACCCACCCGGGGTCCCCACAGCCCCCCCTGAGCCCCCCTGTGCCCCCCCAGGGCTGCCTCCAGAGCATCGAAGCCTGGATGAAGAAGAACATCCTCATTGTGGCTGCTGTGGCACTGGGAATCGCCTTCTTTGAAGTGGGATATGGAGCTGAACCCCCCCCCTCTTCCATCCCCATGTGCGGGGCTGGCTCTCCCCCCAGCCCGGTGTATGGGGCTGAGCAGGGTGGACTTCACCCCCTTCTCCTCTCTGTATCTAGATCCTGGGCATTGTCTTCGCCTGCTGTCTCATGAAGGGCATCCGCAGCGGCTACGAGGTCATGTAGCCCCCCCCCCAGCTCCCACTGCCCCACACTGGGAAAGCTGTGGGGGCTCTGCAGGACCCAACGTGCCAAAACCCTGCCATAGCCTGGGGTTGGGAATAAAAGCTTCCATAGATCCCTATGTCCCAGCACTGGGGAGGGATGCAGGCGGATCATTGAGCACGCAGGGGTGCGCCATGGTTGACCTGGCACCGGGGGGGTGTTTTTATTGGCAGCACTTGTGGGGGGAGCACAGCTTGGTCCAGGGGGATCAGCGGACACGATGGGCAGGCTTGGGCAGGATGGTGGCCAGGACCAGGTCCACAATGCAGGCGGGTAGGTAGGAGGCAGGGAGCCAGAGCAGCTTGGCGTCCCAGCCTGCGCTGTAGCGGGTGCGTGGGTAGCGGGCGCTCAGTGCATGCTCCATGCACCACGTCACCTTGGCCAGGTCCGCGTCACAGATGAGGTTCATGATGAAGCGCTGCACCTTGAGGTCTGGGGGGGAAAGGGAATGGGGGGCTCAGGCATGGCAGTGCTGTGAGGGCTGGAGCCATTCTGCCTGGAACCAGGCTGAGAGAGCTGGGCTGGCTCAGCCTGGAGAAGGGAAGGCTCCTGAAGGGGAGACCTTAGAGCAGCTCCAGTGCCTAAGGGGCTACAGGAAACCTGGAGCAGGGCCTGTAGGGACAGGACAAGAGGAATGGCTTTAACCTGCCAGAGGGGAGACTGAGCTGAGATCTTGGGCAGAAGCTCTTCACCATGAGGATGGTGGGACATGGAATGGGTTGAACAGAGAAGGTTTGGATGCCCCATCCCTGGTGGTGGTCAAGGCCAGGCTGGAGCAACCCACTCTAGTGGAACTGGAGGAGCTTTAAGGTTCTTTCAACTCAAACCCTCCCCTCTGAGGGCCTCGGGGGATGCATCTGCCCCACTCACACTGCCGGAAATAGTCCTCCCCATAGCTGAGGCGCGTCTCAGGTGCCAGCCGCTCCCAGAGCTGCCGCAGGGACCCCTCGATGCTCTCCAGGTCCGTCACTGCCGTCTTGAAGAACCCGGGCTCCACGATGCTCACCTTGACCCCGAAGTGGTACATGTCACGCCTGCAGGATGCAGGGGGTCAGCGCCATGGGGCTGGGGATGCTGCTGCTGATGGGGGCTCCAGCACCCACCGCAGGCTGTCGCTGAAGGCCTCAATGCAGTACTTGGACACGCAGTAGCCACCGCCGTTTGCCGCGAGGCGGCCCAGGACACTGGAGGTGTTGACCACGCGGCCCCGCGCCCGCTTCAGCAGCGGCAGCAGCAGCAGCGTCACCTCGATGGTTCCGAAGGTGTTGACTTCCATGACTTGGCGATAGTCCTCCAGCACCATCCACTCCGTGGGGCCGATGGGATTGGCCACTCCGGCGTTGTTCACCAGCCCAAAGAGACCTGGAAGGGATATGCCATGGGGGGGTGGTCCTGGCCCTGGTGTGTTCCCCCACTCGTCCATCCTGCCCTGGACCCCCCACATCCCACAGCACCGTCGGTCGGGACCATCTTGCTCCATGGCCCTTCTTGAGCTAACCCTTATCCTCTGCCCTACAGGGATCCCCCTGCTCTGCCCTACAACACCTCATCAGGGACTCTGAATCCTGGGGACCCCCAGTCCTGCCCCCTTATGGAGCTATTTGTCTTGATCTATATCATCCCTTGGTGGGTCCCATCCTCTTGTCCTACAGCACCCACCTCTCCTGAGACCACCCATCCTGCTCCCTACTGATGGACTTCATCCCATACCTCACTGACCTCCCTGGCTCCGATCCTGCCCCACAGACCCCGTCCCACCCCACAGACCCTCTCCCCACTCACCTCTGTCGCCCACCTCATCGCTCACCCACTCCACGGCGCGGCGGATGCTGTCGGCCCGGGTGAGGTCGAGCAGGGTGGTGCGGAGGTGCCCGGGGCAGCCGCGGGGCAGGGCCTCGGCGCCAGCGGGGGTGAGGCAGGCAGCGAGCACGCGGTACCCGCGCCGCGCCAGGCGCCGCGCCAGCAGCCGCCCGAAGCCGCTGTCGCAGCCCGTCACCAGCACGAACTTGTCCTGCACCGACGGCAGCGTCTGCCGGTCCCGCAGCAGCCACAGCAGCGCCCAGCACAGCACCGCCAGTGCCACCGCCAGCCACATCCTAGGGGCTGTGGGGCAGGGGGGCAGTGGGACTGGAGCCCCCCCGCCTCTGTCACCCCATTGCCCATAAGCCACAGTGGGCACCTCAAGGTCACTGCCCTGCCCCACACTATGGGGGTCATCACCCATAATGACACATGCCCCGTTCCATCACCATCAGTAGCCACATTAGGGGGGCTGTGAGGCAGGGGGGGACAGTGGGATTGGAGCCTCAACAGTGGAGACGCCACCCCATGGTCACCCTCTGCACCCCACCTTCAAGCTCATCACCCATAAAGCCATGGTGGGCACCTCAAGGTCACTGCCCTGCCCCACACTAGGTGGGTCAGACCCACACACGCACACAGGGAGGGTGGGGAAAGGGGGGGCTGAGGAAGCTTCTCCCACCCACCTCACTCTGGCTCCGGGCTCCCAGTGTCTGGATGGGATCAGCCGGATGTGGTGTCAGCACCTGGCCGGGACCCAGCAGTGACACTCGGGGGAGGAAGCGGGGGGGGGTCCCTGCTGCTCCCCCCGCCCCCATTTAACTCCGTTCCCCCCTGCCCTGCACTGGAAGGTGACCATCACCCTGGCACTTGGGACCCCCCAAACCACGTAACCCCCCCAATCAAGATAGCTTTTGGGGGGCTGTGTCCCCCTCCAGGAGCCTCTTTTGGGGGGTCTTAGTGGGGGTCATGACCCCCCCATTGCTCCCAGCAGTGGGTGCTGTTGGGGGCTCTGGTGAAGGGACCCCAAAGCCAGGTGCAGGAGGGGACAGGCAGCTGCCCCTGCCCCGGCAGGGCACTAGCAGCTACGGGGCAGCCCCACAGGCCCCCCAGGCTGGGTTGGGGTGCAGGGAGGAGCCCACCCCCTATATTCCCCCTACCTTCAATGGGGCAGCACCTGCAGCTGCGGCAGTGGCTCTGGTTTGTGTGACCGGGGGGGGGGGCCACGGCTGCTCCTCCCCTGATGCTGCAGCCAAAGTCCCCCCCCTCGGGGTGGGTGCAGCTCCGGAGGGTGTAACGGGATGCATGGGGGGCACTGGGACACCCCCCACCATGCTGGGGTCTCTCATTATGAGTGGAGCTGGGGGGAGGTGGTGAAGGCAGCCCCCCCCCAGACACACAGATCCCCCCAGGTGCCCTCTGCAGCCCCCCAAGGTGGGGGAGTGGGGCCGAGCTCGCGGGGGGGAGGGGGGGGATTAGAGCCTCAGGCCCAAAGGAGCCCTTTGTCCTGGAGCAAAAGGGGCCTCAGGGCTTAGTGCTAAAGAGGATGAGGAGGCTTAGGAGGGGGCCATGGCACAAGCAGCCTTTATTGCGGTGCCGGGGGGGGGGCCGGGACCCGGGGGGGTCAGGAGCAGGGTGGCTGGAGCTGTCCCTTGTACACGTACTCCAGCGCGGTGGCAATGGTCCTCATGTCCATCTCGATGCTGCGCGCCCAGTTCTCCACATCACCGATCTCCTGTGGGATGAGGGGGAGGAAAGTCAATGCGGTCTGGGAACACCCCGTCCTCCATCAACCATTGATGTTGGGACCCCCCCCCAGCACACGGTGACACTGGGGATGCTGCATCCCCCTGTGTACCCCAAAGGGAATCCCAGCTCCCCGGGTATGGGGTGACGCCCCCCTCCCCTATGGCAGCGGGGGGGGGTCGGGGCCCCCACCTTGAGGGCCTGGTTGAAGTTCTCCACCATGGTGATCCATTGCCCGGTCTGCTTGGCAAACTGCGCTGCCTGGACCTGCAGCGTCTTCACCTCGTGGTCCAGCTTCCGCTGGTTCACATAGGCCTGCGCCACGCTTCGGGGGGAACACAAAGGGGACATGGCGTGAGCGGGCACGAGGAGAGGCTTTGGGTGGGAAGAGGCTTTGGGGGTACCCAGGCTGGGTTTTGGGGGGGTCTCTGCCCCAGATGTGGGGTATTATAGGGATGCAGGGATCAACGGATGCAGGTTTTAGGGGGGAGTCCCTGGGGAGGAGGTTTGGGAAGGCTGAAGGGGCACCAGTGCTGGGGGGCACCAGTGTTGGGGGGCTCCCTGTTTCAAAAGGGAAAAAGGGTCTGGGGGACTCAGGAGGAATCCACATGGGGGGATAAGGGTCGGGGGCTGCCAAGGAGGTTCAGGGGGTCCCGTTGATCACCCCACATTGAGGTGATCCCTATGGGGGTGTCCCTATGGGGGTCCCGTTGCTCACCCCACGTTGAGGTGATCCCTATGGAGGTGTCCCTATGGGGGTCCCGTTGCTCACCCCACATTGAGGTGATCCCTATGGGGGTGTCCCTACGGGGGTCCCGTTGCTCACCCCACGTTGAGGTGATCCCTATGGGGGTGTCCCTACGGGGGTCCCGTTGATCACCCCACATTGAGGTGATCCCTATGGAGGTGTCCCTATGGGGGTCCCGTTGCTCACCCCACATTGAGGTGATCCCTATGGGGGTGTCCCTATGGGGGTCCCGTTGCTCACCCCACATTGAGGTGATCCCTATGGGGGTGTCCCTATGGGGGTCCCGTTGCTCACCCCACATTGAGGTGATCCCTATGGGGGTGTCCCTATGGGGGTCCCGTTGCTCACCCCACGTTGAGGTGATCCCTATGGGGTGTCCCTATGGGGGTCCCGTTGCTCACCCCACGTTGAGGTGATCCCTATGGGGGTGTCCCTATGGGGGTCCCGTTGCTCACCCCACGTTGAGGTGATCCCTATGGGGGTGTCCCTATGGGGGTCCCGTTGCTCACCCCACGTTGAGGTGATCCCTATGGGGGTGTCCCTATGGGGGTCCCGTTGCTCACCCCACATTGAGGTGATCCCTATGGGGGTGTCCCTATGGGGGTCCCGTTGCTCACCCCACATTGAGGTGATCCCTATGGGGGTGTCCCTATGGGGGTCCCGTTCTACCCCACATTGAGGTGATCCCTATGGGGGTGTCCCTATGGGGGTCCCGTTGCTCACCCCACATTGAGGTGATCCCTATGGGGGTGTCCCTATGGGGGTCCCGTTGCTCACCCCACATTGAGGTGATCCACCAGCGCCTCTGTGAGCCGAGTGGCGGCCGTGATCGCCTCCCTGCGCCTCCGCTCTGCCGTGATGTCACAGGGGCGGCGTGACGTCACCGTCACCTTGGCGGACGGTGACATCACACCTTGCGGATTCGCCCTCCTTCTCCCCCCAATATCCCAGCCGCGGGTCTCCCTCCTCTCCCCCCCGCCCTGACGGACAGCCCCGCCAGCCAATGGCGTGTCCCCTCCGCGCTGAGCGGCAGCCGCAGCTGCCAATCAGAAGCTCCCCGCCCCGCGGTTGCCATGGGGACGGGGCGGGCTCACCCTGCAGCTCGCGCCGCTCGCTCTGCCGGGACTGATGCTCCTTCAGCAGCCGGGACAGCATGGCGGCGGAGACACGTGACTGTGGCCTCCTCGTCACCGGCACGTGATCCGCGCCGCCCCGCCCCTGAGGGGCCTCGATGGCTGGTGGAGGCGGGTGTGAGACCTATGGGGCTCTATAGTTGCCTGGGGGCGGGGTATAGGGCTTTATAGGGGTCTATGGGGGGATATAGGGCTTTATAGGGGCCTATGGGGGAATATGGGGGACTATAGCTGTCTGTAGGGGAGAATACAGGGGTCCATAGGTGTCTATGGGGGCGATACAGGGCTCTATAGGGGGTCTGTGGGGGTATACACGGCTCTATAGGGGCCTCAGATAATCCCACTTTCCTTCCCAGCCAGAGCTGCTGGCACTACTCTGGAATACCCACACGGACAATGCAGCCTAATGCCAGGAACTGGGATTTGTGTGCCAGCAGCTAATGGGATGAGGCTCCTGGCAGTGGAACGGGGCTGCGGCGTTCCCGAAGGAGAGCTGGCAGCATTCCAGGATGTCAGAGCTCACCAGCCTCAGGATGCTGCAGCAGCAGGAGGAGGAGGAAGACCTCCTCATCCCCTTGGCAGGGAGTGGAGGGAATATGCTGGATTCTTCCTATGGATTCAGCTTCTTGTCCCAATGGGGGGGGGGGGATCCGGGAGCTTGAGCCAAAGATAAAGCAGTGAATGGGTAAAAATAGTCCCATGTGTTCCCGCTCCGGTTACACAGACACACCGGTGCCTTTCCCAGCCTCGGGAATGGCGAAGGAGTGGATCCTGCCATTGCCAACCTGCGCAGGGTTTGGGGGCAGCTGCTCCCTGCGGAAGGGGTTTGGGATTTGCCAGGATAACGGTCAGCGCCACTCCCGACATTCCTGTCCTTCCCTGCAGCAGAATGAGGCTCCATTGCGGGGGGGGGGGGTGAGGGTTCGCACCTCTCCCAGGGGCGTGGCAGGATGAGCTTCCCTGGGGCGGGGATGCATCCATGCGTGTCCGAGAGCAAGGATGGGATCTTCTCCGTGCATGGCTCCAGGGTCCATCATCCCTTCCTATGGACGGGGGTGCTCCGAGGGGTTCATCCTCACTCCCTGTTTCAAGCTCCTGCTTTGAGCCTTGTGAGGATCCCGCAGCATATCCCGTGGGATCCCCTCATCGCTCTGGGAATGCTCCCAACCGGGCGTTCTCGGGGGGGCTCTGACGCCCCCAAAACCCTTGTGCTCCCTGCCATTCCCAGCTCCTTGTCCCACTCATCCCGACGCCTGAACACCCCCCCCTAGGGAGCGGTCTGGTCCCATCCCAAGCAGGGATCGGCTCTTTCCCACGGCGGGAATCTTGGGAAGGAGGAACAAGGGGGGAATGCTGGGGGGCGGGCACGGACCCGCTTGGCTCGGGGTGAATTCCCATTCCTGGAGCGTTCACAAGGCCAAAGGCTCCGGGAGAGCGGATAAAAATAACCGGGAGCTGGGAAATGTGACGGACCCCCCTTGCTCCCCCCCTCCCCCGAGCCGCTCCCTGGGGACCCCGACCCTCCGCAGGGTCCCGGGGCAGGAGGGGCGCAGTGAGCTGTGCCCGGGGGGATCAGCTCCATGCCGGGTGCGGGGGGATCCGGTGCCCGGTGCCGCCTCTGCCCCGAGCGATGTCACCGGTGACCGCAGCCCCGCGGGCGGGGCGGGGGCGGGGGGCCGGGCCGTTGTTCCCGGTATCCCCGGACTCCTGCCGGGGCCGGAGCGGGCGGGGCAGGCGCTCCCGGTGCTGCCGGGGCCATGGTGGGCGCTGCCCGGCTCTGGCCGCTCTGGCTGTGGTTGCTGCCTGCCGCCGCCGCCTTCAACCTGGACACGGGCAGCGCCGTGCTCAAGGACGGTGCCAGCGGCAGCTTCTTCGGCTTCGCCGTGGCGCTGCACCGGCAGCTGAGCCCCGAACCCGCGGGTTGGTGAGTGCGGGGAGACCGGACACTCGGAACGGGGCTGGGGACAGCGCGGCTCCTGTCGGCGCCGTGTCCCCCCTCAGTGGGGTCCGTGTCCCCCCATTGGAGTCTGTGTCCTCCTCCCTCGGGTCCGTGTCCCCCCCCATTGGGGTCTGTGTCCCACTCTTCGGGTCTGTGTCACCCCATTGGGGTCCGTGTCCCCCCCCCAGTGGGGTCTGTGTCCCACTCTTCGGGTCCGTGTCCCCCCACTGGGGTATGTGTCCTCCTCCCTCGCCTCCGTGCCCCCCTGCTCAGTCGGGGACCCCCCTCCACTCCCCGGGACACCGGAGGGGGAACTGGCTCCTGCCCCACGTGGCTTTTGGAACACTGAGATTCACCCCCGAGGGGACGGGGACGAGCACCGGCGGGTGTTGGGGGGGCAGAGATTTAGGGGGCTCAAAGCATCGAGCACAGGGAACCCCCCAGGCTGGGGCTGGGCTCCCCCCGAGCGGTGCCACCGCCTCCACGGTGCCATTGAGCTGCCGAACGCCCACACCGCGTGCCAGCGCGGGCACCGGCGGCACCGGGACCCCCCACCTCGGGTCCCATAGACCCCGGTGCCGGTGTCCCACTGGGGCTGGCACCGGTGCCCGGTGTGGTGGTGCCACGGCCCCGCCAGCTCCCTCCTTGTTTGGGCATGTCGCGGCCGGGTTATTTTGAGTGAATTCCAGGTTATTTTTACCGGCCCCGGGCCCGAGGCCATTGTGTGCCCCCCCCCGCCCCCCCCCCGCCGGTCGCGGTGTGGGGCTAGGGGGGCCACCGACGCTGCCATGGCCACTGTGGAGCCTTCAGCGCAGCTGCAGCAAGCCCCAGCCCTTAGGGTCCCCAACCTGCGGCACCAAGGGACAGGGAATGGCGGGGTTTGGGGCTGCGTCACCCACACGTGCACTGAGGCTGGGCAATGGGGCTGCAGCTGCTGCGGGGGGGGTTGGCACTGGGTGGGCACCGGCACTGCATGAAATGGGTGCAGGGGCACTGGGACAGCTGCAGGGAACATGGTGCCCCATAGACACACACACAGCGATGTCCCAGGCCCCCCATACACATACACTGACAGGGACACAGACACACACACACACACTGATGGGATCCCCCCTGTCCCAGGCTGCTGGTGGGGGCCCCACAGGCACCAGCGCTGCCCAGCCAAGGTGCCAACCGCACCGGGGGGCTCTTTGCCTGCCCCCTGACCCTGGAGCCCTCCGACTGCTGGCGGGTGCCCATTGATGATGGGGGTGAGTGGATGCCCCCTCCTTTGCCCCCCAACCCCACAGTGGGGTTGGTGTGGGGCTGATGCTACCTGTCCCTGCCAGTGGACTTGGAGCGGGAGAGCAAAGAGAACCAGTGGCTGGGGGTGAGCGTGTCGAGCCAGGGCGCCGGCGGCAAGATTGTGGTGAGTGTTGAGACCCTCCCCAAGCCCCCCTGATGCCATTGACCCCCCTCACCCCACTGATGCCCCTGGCCCCCTGTAGACCTGCGCGCACCTGTATGAGGCACGGCACCGCGTGCGGCAGCCGCTGGAGACCCGGGATGTGCTCGGCCGCTGCTTCGTGCTGGGCCAGGACCTGCAGGACGAGCCTGAGGGCGGTGACTGGAGCTTCTGCCGGGGGCGGCCGCAGGGCCACGAGCAGTTCGGGTCCTGCCAGCAGGGCCTGGCCGCAGCCTTCAGCCCCGACCGCCTCTATCTGCTGCTGGGAGCACCCGGCACCTACAACTGGAAGGGTGAGAGCGGGGAGAATGCGGGTGGGAGCGTGGTCTGGGCAGGGGGATGAACATGAGTGTGAGCATGTGTGTGTGTGAACGCACTACAGGTGTGACCATATAGCTGCATGCATGCCATGGGCATGAGCACATGTGTGTTCATGGTGGGTGTGAACATGCGTGTGCGTGAGCGTGTGGCAGCACACATGCTGTGGATGTGAGCACATGTGTCTGTGTGCATGTGTGTGCATCCTGGGGGTGGGCACACACGGATGCGTGTATGCTACAGCTGGGCGCAAGCACACGGGTATGTGTGCATGCCACATGAGTGTGCACGTGTGTGTGAGCTGCGTGTCCGTGGGGGGTGGTGCCTGCTGCCCCCGGCACGCACAGAAGGGGGGTTCCCTGGGTGCTGCCCCCCCCGCGTTGGGCTCGCAGGGACCCTGCGTGTGGAGCTGCTGCCCCAGAGCCCCCCGGACCCGCTGCGCTTCGACGACGGCCCCTACGAGGCGGGGGGCGAGAAGGAGCAGGACCCCACGCTCATCCCTGTGCCCGCCAACAGTTACCTGGGTAGGGACGGGTGCGGCGCGGGCGCGGCACCGGGGATCGCCCCCCCCCGGCCCGGCCCAGCCGCCGCCCGCCCCGGCCCCGGTGACCGCGTGTCCCCGCGGCCCGTGCAGGGCTGCTCTTCGCGACCGGCGTCGGCGGCTCCGAGCCCGACCAAGTGGTCTACAGGAGCGCGGCGCCCGGCGAGACCGTGCCAGGCGCGGCCGCGGACCTGCCCCACAATAGCTACGTGGGTTCGTAACGCCCGTGTGCCTCCCCCCCCCGGGCCCGTGTGCTCCGGAGTGTGTCCCCCTTCCGTGTGTCCCTGTGCCTGTGGAAGGGAGAGGAGTGGAGCTGCCGGCAGGGCTGGCAACACGCATGGGCTCACGCGTGGCACCGTACGGATGTGTCCCATACAGATGTGCGTCCCCATACACACCACAGACGTGTCTCTGTGCACATCTCTGTACAGACATGTCTCCCTGCATCTTCATGCACGTGTCCCCCCCATGCATACATATAGCCATGTCCCTATACACACGTGTCCCCACGCACACACATGCACCCAGCACCTCCTCGTGCATGCTCACATCCAGCTTCCCACCCCCCCCCCCCCCGTTTGTGTGTGTCCTCTTGTGCACACCTCTGCAATGCTCGGTTATGCACACATGTGGCTGCCTCCGCTGCATGTGTGTCCCACAGGGGTCCCGTGTTCCTGTTGTGTGTCTATTGTGGTGCCAGGGCTGGTGGAGCCCCACCAGGCTGAGGGGGTGTCAGAGCCTGGTGTTACCCCCTCCCCCCAGCACTCACCATCTCCCGCATGTCCCCTCCTGAGGTGTCTCTGC